CAGTCCCGGCCTCGGCTCAAAAAGTGACAGAGATGCTTGATGGTGCACATTTGCCTGGTGCTCTGTTTCATTTAATCTGATAGAGCACAGCAAACCCCATGTCACATGTTCATTCTTTTTCTCCTAATTGCATCGTCTGAGGACTTCTTGAGCAAGCTTCAAACACCTGTCCAACATCAGAATTATATCGACCTACCTACCTACCTATCTATCTAGCTAGCTAGCTAGCTATCTATCTAGCTATCTATCTATTTATCTATCTATTTATCTATCTCCCTACCTATCTATCTTCCTTATCTTGTCCTCTTATCTGATCATCTTATCATTATATATCTGATCTTATTATCCACCTTATCTTAATCTAAATCCAAATCTAATCTTAATAAGACGTGTTATATCTATCATCTAATCTTAATAAGATGTGTTATCTCTAATCTAATCTTATTTCCTTATCTTAATCCAATCTAAACCATCTATGTGTGTTATATCTATCGGAGGTGCCTGGTGGCCTTGGACTCGCCCCCCCACCGCAAGCAGCGGAGCAGAAATCGGAGTCAGAGGCGAAGGGTGAAGCCTGGGTGAATTTTGATGTCAAAAAAGCTATGGAAAAGAACGAAAATCATAGGCTTTTCGGCTTTGCTACATGCTGTTTAAAGCATTGTGATGGGTAATTATATACTTGGGGGGTTTAGCTATATGCCACCGTAGGTGTTAGTGATTAGTTTATAGTTACTATAGATAGTGACTCGAGTGGTTAATATGGCCCATGTAGTTCGATGATTTACCGTTAACAGGGTGATTTTCATGGCTGAGTTTGCCAGAGGGTAGTGACATGTCGGAACTAGATGTTAGTGATTAGTACTGTTAGTGATATGCGTTAATGTTAGCAATTGTATATGATGAGTAGCCAATCTGGGGATTTTAAAATCCAGCCATAGATTCTCCACATTTTTTCATAGGAAATACAGTGTTCATTGCCTGAGAACCTGGAAGATCGAAGTTTTTCAATACCACCGTAACCGCCGGTGGCTGATGGACGATTTCAAGGAGAGAAGCAAGTCGAGCAGTCGAAAATCCAGCGAATCTTCGGAGAGCTCGAGTGGCTTGGACAGCGGGAACTGTAGTCCTTGGATGTCCTTTTTAGCATTGGCAGCCAAGGAATAGGAAGCAGAATGCACTGAACCATACTGAACCGATTGGTGCTTCGACATGTTTTTTTTTACAACCATATTCAATGGATGAATCACCACGAATTTTCTGTGGTGAAATCACCATTGAAAAGATTGATCCAGAACGGCAATAAACTTCCGGAGCTGAAGGGCGGTGGGAGTCACGGCCCTTGGGCGCTGCTTCAATGCAGAAACCCATAGAAACATATAGAAACCCTTTTTTTGGGGGTTCCTCGGCCATGTCTTGTCCGTGTTTCTTCAGGTGAAAGAAAAAAGAAGAAAAAGAAAAAGAAGGCCATGGCGTCTTCGCGTCGCGGGTCGCCGTGTTGAAATGGTTCATACTTTCCCTACCTGTGGCTAGCGGCTCATAGTGTTGGGATATGATACGGTTAAAACTCCACGACCAGTCCAGTGCGTTATTGGCACGAGGTCTTTGTATATTGCAACTTGAACATGCGGAAGGCTCATTTTTTGTCAACCAGGAGCCATTTGTTGATCATGAGTCATGAGTTTTAACCGCTGTCAGGATAAGAAGAAGAAGAAAAAGAAGAAAAAAAAGTCGCAAACTCATGGGTTCTGAATGGTTCTGAGTCCAGAAAAATGCAAATTCAAAGATGGGACAGCCACTTTCCCTGCAGCTTTGATTCAATGAAATGGACGGGACGTTGGGGATAAGCACAAACCTGGGATATGTATGCTTATGTTCAGTCCCATCATGTCCCATCCGTGGTTTTTTCCAAGCATCGTCAAAAAGGCACCACGCCACACACGGAGTGCTGTCCGAGGTCGAAGAAAAGTGACGTATGTCCGGTCGCCCCGATCCCTTTTTGGTCCTGGATGTCCTGAATTTCGGAGACCGGACTGGGCGAATCATCCCCAATTTGGGAGATAATGATGGATAAATTGGGATATAATGATGGAATATGATGGATATAATCATCTTATATCTCCCAAATTGGGGATGATTATATCCATCATTATATCCCAATGATGGATATTATGGCTCAAATTTGGGATATAATGATGGATAATTGGGATAGAATCATCCCCAATTTAGTGAAGCAATAGGATCTACCATCCTCAAATTTACCATTCCTATGATTCCTATGGCTCTACAGCATCAAAACATGGTAAATGGCGTTTGAGCTGATGTCTGACGTGGGACAGATAGCAATCACCATAGGATTTTCATGGAGATCCCTGAGACTGAGGGGTTCACGACACTTTCTAATTACAGTAATCCCAACTTGGGCCACAGAAAACACACTGTGAATCACCTGCATGTCCACATCTGGGCCAAATCTCAAATATCGGTGGTGAACTCTAGAGTTACGACCGCGCAACGATAGAGTCGGATCCCTGCTGTTTCGCCATGCGTCGCACTCCGAAACGCCGCCATGGCCGATTTTCTGGATGCGGGGAATGCGCAGCCAGAGATTCTGAAGTTTCCAAGCGAAATCCTGGAGAATCAACAGCAACTTGGATGATCTGAGTGGAATGAGTGGAATGGGCATCCAACGGCATAGAAATCATAGAACTCCTCCTTTTTCATAGGGAATTGGGTATGTTGGTTTATAGATGATATGATTTCCATTGATTTCCACTATGATATTCTACGGCTTTTTTGGGTGCGTTTGGCAACCACAAATGGTGTCAGAAATCCGTCAATCCAAGGTTTGGGTGTGATGAGTCCAGGTCAGGTACCCCAAAATATGCTGTACCTCAAGGCGCTCATCGGAGCCATTCTGAAGAAAGTTGATACTAATTTTTTCTATGGGTTTTTAAAGCCATTGAGAGTCAGTAGCAGACATTTTTATCATTTTTCAAACCAGACTCAACCATATAATAACCAGCCATATAACACTATTAACATCTATTAACCATTATCCACCAACAATCAGATTATCATCCCATTATTAACCACTATTAAGCCACTATTAACCATCATTAACCACTATTAACCATTATCCAGTTGGCTGTTATCCATCATTAAGCATCATTAACCCACTATTAACCACTATCATCATTAACTCACTATTAACCCACTCTTAAGCCACTATTAACCATCATTAACCATCGATTGGTCGCCATCGATGTCGTGACTGTCGTGAGGTTGGGTTGGACCAGCTGGGAGCCGACCCCGCCGAAGGAGAACGAGAACAACTCCTGGGCCGTTTCGAAACTCTTCGAGGCCGGTTGAGCGTACGTGAAACAACGGTAGATAAGTTGGTGAAGTATTAAGATGATATCAATATATATATATATAACTATATCAATATATATCAATATTCTGAATAATGGCTATCTGTTCAGAACTTAAATGACTTATGACTTATGATGATGATTATTCCTCTTGCTGTTGTTGCCCATGTTTTATTGCTGTTACTCATATATCTTTTACTATATATATATACAATATATATAATATGATATATATAATATATTATAGATATGCATATATGAAGCATATGAAATATCAATATCATTATCAACATTGAGGGAGAAGGGCACACATTTACGATAATATATATATATATATCACATTTCAACATTGATCTAACTGGGGTACCCCCTGATCGCCCGAATAACTTGGGCAGGTTGTGGCATGCTGTTTCAGATGACTCTACCTGAAGCACTTGGGCAATCTTAAAGCAGAATACAGAATACTAGAGATTTGATATCAGCAGGTGATTGATGAACAATGGCCCCCAATCTAATGATCAACATGCTTGCAACACCTGAATAGATTACCACCAAATGGATTAAAACATATTAAAACTACTATATTCTACCTCTTTTGAGCAAATTTACCCCCTCCGGAGGGGGGAGAAACCTTCACTGTCAGGAGCGCCCAGCGCCCTTCGAGGCTGTCGATGATGCGAATGACTTGGCGACGTCGGGCGCTGTCCGGGGGATGTATGGGGATTGCAGAGCGACAAAGCAAATGATTCCAAATGAATCCAACCGGAGTTACCTTTGTTACACATCTGCAGGCAGACACGCGCGCGCGCACACACACACATATATATATATATGTATATAGGTATATGTCTATATACATAGATTGATGATCAGATGAATCCATTCATGATAGACATACATTGATCCCAATCTCATCACTTTTCAGCACATCTCCAGCCATCGTTTCGTAGCAAAAAATGGCGCTTTTTCCCTGAGGGAAAAGCTCCAAAGTCTGCTCTACCCCGACGACTGTGGCGCGCCCCGATACGTGCCTCAGGCATCCCATGGGTCATCCCATGGCAGCCATGCGTAGTAGGAGTTTCCATTCAGACTTGCCGGGCACTTGGACATGTTAGACGCATAAGACACTTCAGATTGTTCAAGTCTGGATGTTCATGTCTGGAATCTGAGATGTTCCATTGGATGTTAAAAACATATAAAATGTTCCAGGGATCTCTATATAAAGACCGTCTATACCGTCTGGACTGCTTTGGAAACCTGCTTCCTGAGTGGAAAAACAATTGGATTTTCGGAACAGTGATTCAACCGTTCCACACGCACGCGTTCGTCTGAAAATAGGGTACCCGGCCCCAAAATCCAGTGAGTTATCATCGCAGCAACTCATCGAGGGTTTTTTTTGCCATTTCCAGTCACGCCCAAGGCCATCATCTCAAGTTGGTTCTGCATCCAACAATGTCATCCCTATTCGATTTCCAACAAATTCTATAGTCCCTATTATCTCAAGTTCTATAGTCCCTATATAAATATATCTCCCTATTTATTATATCCCTATTGTTTTAAGTATGCCCCATTCTTTTGTTGCTTCAACGGTTATTTTTCTACCACCCCTTCGACCGCAAAAAAACAGGTGGATTCGACCACGGATTGCGAGGGCTGGATCTATGGCACCAAGGCCTCCAGGCGCCGAATGCCGCCGCGCCCCAGCATCGGTGCAGTTTGGTGATGTCATTCCCAACTGGATAATGATGGTGTAATGATGGTTAATGATAACTAACTGGATAATGATAACTAACTGGATAATGGTTAATGATGGTTAATGATGGCTTAATAGTGGTGAATAATGGGATGAGAATCTGATTGTTGGTGGATAATGGTTAATGATGGTTAATAGTGTTATATGGCTGGTTATTGTATGGTTAATAGTGGCTTAATAGTGGTTTAATAGTGGGATGATAATCTGGGGACGGTGGTTTCAAACATGGCTGTTATGTATGGTGTAATGATGGACGACTGATGCTGTTATGTTATGGTTAATGGCTAATTTTATCACGAAAGGTTGGTGTTGTTTCATCATGTTTCATCCGATATTATTTGATCTGGTTGGCGGTAATCCAACAGAGAATCGCCATGGTAATTAGTAATCATCTATAGATTCACTATATAATATATACTGGTTGGTGGTTTCACACATGACTTTTATTTTACATCATGTATGGGATAATCCTTCCCATTGACGAACTCATATTTTTCAAGATGGTTAAATTCACCAACCAGTTATACTTTTTTTTTGGGGCGAAAAAAATGGAAAAGAACATAAAATAACCATAACCGGCAACATATTTGTTTTTTGTGGACTGCTAGTACCAAAGATTGACCATGATGTTTTGAAATGGGATGGATGGATGGATAGACAGGTAAATACACCTCAGAGATACATTAAAATCATTCAATGTCCTGAGAAGACATGCAGATTCCGAATTGTTTCTGGGGTGGGGTACGGGTTGATTTGAGGAAATTTGAGCCCACAATTACCCTCTGGTAATTTAACATAGCTATTGAAAATGACCATTTATAGTGGGTTTACACATTAAGAATGGTGATTTTCCATAGCTATGTTAGTTTACCAGAGGGTATTCCATCTCTCACATGGATTGACTTGGGCATTGTGACCTCAGCAGTATGATGCCGGGGTATTTCAGTAGCCTTGGGCTATGAAGTTGGCATGAGTCTGACCGGGTAACTGGGTTCCATATGGTTCCATAGTTAGTTTACATTAGTTTACCATCTGCGAAACAATACTGTAATAATAATGAGATGATTTAGCCAAAGTATACGCCTAATAACGGGCATTGGATTTGGCTTTACCATGGTAAACGCTAAAGGGCATACGGCATACATGTTCCAATGATGGCAAGAAGAACAAAACACCATTGATACGTAGTTGATCTCAACCTGAGATTAGTAAACTCTACCGTTCAAAGGGTTGTCCGCTTAAGACTAGTCACTAAACCGACGAGATTCCAGGCTTGACATGACATAACAAACCACCACATAGCCAGAGACAATCTAACGTGAAGCTTAAGATATCAATAAGTGCCCAAGTAAACATGAATCAACATATCCGAGATGTAAGAAACTGCGTGTAAATAGACTGAGAGAACACATTGATGCCGATAAACACACACACACATGTATATATATATATCTTTATGTATATATACACATATGTATATATATGTATATATAGGTATCACACATAGATGAACTAACAGTTATCAATCATTTTCTATCAGAACCTATCTTTTTGTCATGGAAAACATGGAACCCATATTTGGTTCCAATCCATGGGGATACCTCCAATGGAAAAACGACCAGCACCAGGTTGACCGTGCCGCGCCTCGGGGGTCGGGCCACCAAGCGGCTGAACGACCGGGTGCGCATGCGCCGCTGGAACTTGGTGCCTGAAGGCAGCAAGGCCATGGCGGCCTGCCGGCCATGGGATGACGGGTTGGAAAACCCGGGAGTTTAGCGATGAAAATGGGGTTTTGATCCACGATTTTTTGATGGGGTTTTGATCTGGAAATTGATGTTTTTTGATGGGGATTTGCGGAGGTTTGATGGGATTTTGATGGGTTTTTCACAGTTAGGGGCAATATGTGATGCTTTGGAGAATGGGAAAAGGTGGAGTTCAGATTATCGAAGCCAAACAAAGAGTAGATATCACTGCTATCCCCCCACAAAATTTGATGGTCGTGACCAAAGTGCTTGGGACTTAAGTTCTGAGTTTTGACTCATGCCCACATTCTTGAGCTGTCAATGGATTAATCCACATCTTTGCGGGTGCAGTTGGGTCTATCAGCCAGAGGTGGACCTAACCTTAAACCCACTGCAAACAGTTGAGGCTGGGATGTTCTCCCCCCACGTTCTGGTCGTTTTTTTCTGATGCAATTCGGTTTGCGAAGTCATGTTGGATGACGATGATAAAGCTGTGGACAGGAATTACCATCCCGGTTGTGGTTTTGCCCCTGAAAAGTCTGAGATCTCAGTCCACTCAATCTAAACCAACAAAATTCACCCATCAGCCATACCAAATTTGAACAAACAACCTTAGAATACCTTAGAATACCTTAGATATCCTTAGATACGTTCCCAAGATTTTGTTCAGCTCCCCCTGCTCCACAGGCGGGCGACGCTGCGGGCGAGGCTGCGGCGGGCAATGCCCAGAGCGCCATGGAGAGCATGTGGAAGGCGCTGGCAGAGGTCATCGGGCGAAGCTTTGACGCAGCAGGGATCATTGGAGAGATGATATAGTTGTGATGATTAAAATCTACGTTCTGTTGATGACATAATGACATATTCATAACATATTCCATATAATTGATGTATCACTGTATCATTCGTGGATATTTACCATATATTTGCCATGTATTTACCATATATTTACCATCCATTGATTGCCATTTTTTTTGGGGGGGGTTGGAAGACGGACGCAGAAGAAAGGACGCCGCGTGTCGGAGATTCCGGTGGACCCCACTGCCATCATCCGACGCTCGCAGAACGATGTGGAAGCTTGGCTCGTTGGTTAAGACCAGTGGAATCCACCACTCCACTGGAGATATCATAGAGATACCCGGCCTGGTCAACGTTTACATATATAACTATTGGAAAGATCCAGCATTTTTAATTAGGGTAAATCCACTATTTCAATGGCCATTTTCAATAGCTATGTAACAAATTACCAGAGGGTATAATATAGAGATATGATATAGAGATATAATATAGGTGTGACACCATGTGACACCATGTGACACCTAAATCCTCTGAATATGGAAATCCCTTGGCATAGATGGTTGACCAGCAGCATTTTTTGTTGGGGATGAACGCAGGATGAAGGTCCATGAAGACCAGCGCCATTTTGGGATGGACAGTGAGCCGTGAAAATCGATCCAGTGGATCCCTTCACTCAGGAGAGATACAATCAGCTCTGCCAAAGACTTCCGCCCTGGGAAGATATCCCAGTACTGATGGCAGCTCGGTACGTCGTTTTTTTTTGGGACTATCTCTTGCACTTGGGCATGAAGGAACAAAAGACCATCGTTCATAATTGAATATGCTCAAATCATCTCGAATTAAATCACTACAGTTTTTTGTGGTTACTCTCCAACTTTGCAAGATTAGGGCCGCATGTATTGATTCACATAAGGGTTGCTTACAAGTATATGTCATTCTATAATATTTTACAATGCAACATATGCATCGATATACTTATAACATATACATATACACATGCACAGGCCTAGGCCTATATGTATGTTTAATTGTTGCTTTTGTTGCATAGCACTTACACAAAACGATAGAAGTTTGTCAATTCCTACTAAAACCGTGATTAAAATGACTTTTTTTTTCTCCATGGCTTAGTAATCCCTTTTTTGGGGACTCCTATAGATTTGCGGATGGTTTACTATTGGGTTTGCAACATTATTATCATAAATTAATCCATATTCGTAATTATTTCCCAGATAACCAATAATCCACATTAATCTGTTAATCTATTATTATAATCTGGTTGGTGGTTTGGAACATTTTTTATTTTTCCATTCAGTTGGGAATGTCATCATCCCAACTGACGAAGTCCATCATTTTTCAGAGGGGTAGGTCAACCAGGTCAACCACCAATCAGTAATTATATCATATGTAATCCATATCATCCATATAAATCACCATTATTAATGGGTAAATCAATGTAAATCACCATTATAAATAGGTAAATCACCATTATAAATAGGTAAATCACCATTATAAATAGGTAAATCACCATTATAAATAGGTAAATCACCATTATAAATAGGAAATCACCATTGTAAATAGGTAAATCACCATTATAAATAGGTAAATCACCATTATATCACATACCAATAAGTTCATAGCCCATCCACGGCAGGAAATGCTCGTGGCGGCGCTCTACAGCCGCAGCGCCTACGGCTTCACGGGGCGCCAAAAGCTCTTCGACTCGGTGGCACAAGGCAGGGAATCCACGTGGCTATGCATGGATAGATGTACTACATATATAGTTACTATATATATATATATATATATATTTAGAGTTATTTATATATAGTTATATATCTATATAGAGTTTGAACAATTACTCTTAACAAACTATATTATTATTATTTTTATATACCATGGAGAGAGAGAGATATATATATATATACACAATAGGTACTATAGGCAGTATCGGCCGCTCCCTTCCTCGCGGTGCTTTTGGCCTGAATCTGGAGGCTAATTTTCCATTTTTTGCTGCCTGTTCTGTTGTTAGTCCACCTTGTTGGTGTGGCCGCAGACAGATGTTTGGCCCGTATTTTGGGTATCCACCGGGATACCAGGCCTCACTTCATAGCCCTTGTTTTGGCAGTGTATAGATTTGTCAGTTTTTCACATTCGGAGAGTTTTCGGATTCATGAGACGCTTTTCGTTTTTGAAAAAAAGGATTATATGTATATATGTTTTTAATTATATATATTATACACATGTTTTTTGCTAATATTTGAAGAATTGTGTATATGTGATAGATGCATAAGCTAGATATTAGCAGACCACATAAGTATGTATGTACCTACATGTGATATACTTAAGAGGTCCTTTGATATTCCTATTGTTTCCTGTTGCCCTTTGTACAACTATCCAGATGTTGATTTTGTTGCTGTTGAGCTGGTCTCCATGTGCTGATTTGCATTGCAAGGTGCCATGGTGTTCTCTATCCATCGCGCTATGTTCGACTATGCTGAGCACGTGGATGACGCCTCCAATGTGACCTGTCCTTATCATGGCTGGCATATGAGGACTGCTATGTATCTAATGTGTATGTACATTGTACATATGAGATTTGAATCTATTCTTAAATACATGTCACATCTTATATATCACCTATGACATATCTATATATATATATATCTATATATATATGCCACGTATGTACCTAACACGTGTCTATCATTCTCCTCAACGTGTCAGCTGGCCGAGTTCCAGTGCCCCAGGATTTGGCCTTCCGCGACATGATGGGCTTGGCACCAGAGGACCTGGTGAAGACGCAATGGAAAGGCACGGCCTTGCAGTGCCCCGGCCGAACTTGAAGCGTTCTGGTGGAAGTGGGAAAGCTGAACTGACCCCCTTCCCACCCCTTTCATCATAATGGGGGCACCAAGAAACCACACAAATATACCTTTGATCTGTCTAGTTGTGTTCCCAATTCTGGCTGTATCAGGTAGGTAGATGTGTACATACTGCTATGTTTAAGGTGGTCGGTCCAGAAGACCGTATTTTCCCAGTCAGTTTGGCAGACCCCCTTCATCATAAGGGCTCATAACCACTCATAAGGGGTACCAGGGGGTAGTAGCACAGGACTGCTTTGGTTATGAAGATTTATGAAGACTTATGAGTTGGAAAAACTTGTCTTTTCATTGGAAAAGCTTGTTTTTTTTTTATTCTGCTGAACCGCCAAAAGTGCTTAGTGAGGGGTTCTGAAGGGTTATGAGGTGCTATGAGTGTAACAGTTTTCACAGCATTTCAGCCTAAGTTGAAGGGGGTCCAACTCCTGCTGGAACTGAGGGACTGGGATCTGAAGTATCTTTGGGAATACTTACCCTCCAAATTGGCTATAGGCTATAAACCTTCAAAATAGCCGAAAGTAGTGTTCCAACCCCCTATTTGGCAGGGCGAGTGTTAATTTTGAGGAAAGGCAAGATGAATAGGAACTAAAGATCCAAATCTGATCGCTTTGGGGTTGAACATGGATCAAGTATTTCCATAAAATCTTGTGAGGGTAGCGTTTTTCAGAATCCATGAAATCATGTTAAATGATATGAAATCACATGAAATCTCTGCAGCCTTTTTAAAACCCACCGGGTTGCTGCACGGCAACTAGGGGGCTAATGTCAACCCAGAATGAGTCTTGGTTCATGAGGCAGTTACATGATCCCAAAAACTGTGATCACATGCAATGCAAATAGGTGCCTCCTAAGGATCTCCACGCTGATCGAAACCTGGCTACTAGTATCACTGTCGAACTGTTGGTGGTTTCCAATATTCCCCCCACTGAGATGATAGACCCAGTATCTATACTTGGATCATCGCATGGATGGCAACTGATTAATAAGCATGCTTAGAAAGTCCTCAATTCCTGGCTTTTTCCCATAGTAAAAATGGGTAAGCTAATCCCATTTACTAACCAGTTCCGCCGCCAGACCTGTGTACGTGGTCGCCCGCGACCACGCCTTGCAATGGATCGTAGTGGCGGTGCGGGGCACGCTGTCGCAGAACGACATCCTCACGGATTGCGCTGTGAACGGCGTGCCATTTCTGGGAGGCTGCGGACGCAGCCACAGGAAGACCTGAAATGGGTTTGTTTTGACATGTTTTGACATAGGGCCTAGGGGAGACCAGAATCCCGTAGTTTCTCAACCTTTTTCATTTCTAAGGTCATTTTCTTTTTTGATGGTAAGCATTATTGGACAAACCACCATTATATTTTTTGAATGGATGATGGATATGGGAAAATAATCTGGAAAGGATTGAATTCCCAGAATTTACCGGCGTTCCCTCCAGACGCCAGGGCATCACATATCTATTTTGGGGCAGTAGAAACCCAGCCTAGATTTCCAGACTAAAGCTTTAAAGCTCTGAAAAGATGAAGATTGAGCTTGTTGAAACAAGAAAAACTCGTATCACAGCCAACCTTCTCGGCCCTGTGTCCCCCATGCGGATGCTGCAATGCTTAGCCGCTTAGCCATGGGCCATGGCCAGTTTCCAGTTGGGGCTTGGAGTGCTTGGCCTTTGGATGGTGAATTCTGAAGGTCAAGGGAATGAAATCTGCTTTCACCCACATCCCAACTGGATCAACCTTCATTTGACCTATGAGGACTGTTTGTGTCTTTTTTTCCTTGTGTTGGCTGGCTAGGGGACTCCCCACCCAAGGTTTGAAACCTTCAAATTGGTCAGGCTGATTCGGCGCGATCATTGCATCGAATATTGCATCACATTGCGATACCCTCTTGGAAACTAACATAGCTATGGAAAATCACCATTTTCAATGGTTACATCCACTATAAATGGCCATGTTCAATAGCTATGTTAGTTTACCAGAGGGTATGTCTGAAAGTCTTCCAAATTGGTTTTGCCTATGCATCTGATGCATCTGCACCAGTCCAGCCCACATGGGTGGCTCCACTCTACAGGACTGCTGTTCGCAGGATGCACTGCATGGGGCTGATTGCTTTGGCCCACTGGGGGGCTTCTACACCTGGAGCTTTTGCTGTGACCGGGCCGAAACACCGCTGGCCATCAGCAGCTACAGGTCATGAGTCATCAAATATAGATATCATTGTTATCATTGATATCATCACATATTACATACATATGTAATATGTATGGTCATATTTGATGTATACAGAATCTGATGTTTTTGAGCATCAATAGCGTGGCATTGTTATCTCAGCAAAAGCCTGCGGATTGCTATAGATCATGAGTAAATAACCGATTTATCATAGGCATGGAAACACATGCACACACACACACGGATATATATATATATACACATAATATATACATATATAAATAAATAGTATTGTTATTTTTTACATGTGTGTGTGTGTAAGGAAACCGTTTCATAATGGTTGGATACACTATAATGTCAACACCTCATTTTTGTCAACACCTCAATAATAAATCCTTGTGGCCAGTTTAACTGGTGGCGTCCCATTCTTGTAGCAGATGACGACTATTTGCACCCCAATTCCCGATGTTTACACAACCATAGTTTATTATATAACCTGGGGTTTACATTACATAGATATATAGATAGAAATGCACACACACAGATATATATATATATATCCCATAGGATCCATGTATGGTATATATATGCCAACATTTGGGGTATATTGATGGGATCCATGTTACCATATATAGCACCATGGATCCTATGGGTATCATATAGCTATGAATAGATAGATAGATATATATATATTTCATATAGCTATGAATCATGACCCATAGCTACCCACCATCAAGACAGAGGCCAAGCTCCACCCCGCGACTGCGATTGGCACGAGATCTTGTCCGTGGTCGCAGCGTCGGAGCAGGTGGGCCCCGAGACGCTCCAGAGGCGCGGCATGGCGCGGCAAGGGTGGATAGATGCATATATCAATGGTCCAGCAAAGGTAACATATACCCTCTGGTAAATAAACATAGACCCTGAAAATCACCAATTGTTAATGGAAACTAGTCTTCCAACCCCTATCTGCCAGGGTCTATGTTAATTTACCAGAGGGTATATATAGATATAATGTATATATATGTATATATAACCATATGTATTTTGAGAAATGCTGGGATATAATTGGATAGATCAATGGTCTATCAATGGTACCCTCTGGTAAACATACAAAAAGCCATGGAACACCAGCATTTTTAGTAGGTAATTCAACTATCAGTGGCCATTTTCAATAGCTATAACATATAGATAACCATAACATATATTTATTGGGTCTATCAAATACCATTAATATTAACATATTAATTAACCATAGATGGATAATGATGGATAGATATATAACCATCGGTCATCAATGGTTAATATTGGGCAAAAACCACGACATAAGTTTTGGTTAATGTTGATCCCCCTGAAGAAAAACTCCAAATGATAAATTTACCCACTGGTTGGTAATCAGCTAGGTGGCGAACGCTGGAAAGTTGGAGGTTTTACAGCTGGTCAATCTTACATGGATACAAACTAATCCAAACTAGTCTTTTGGTATTATTGGGAATATCCACTAACCAGCAAAGAATTTATATAATTTTTTGCAGGGTATCTAAGATTGGCAATGTTTATAGCTAGGAAGATCAGTCCTGGATTGTTGTACGTGGACCGCGTGGAGAAACGTTTCCCAGCAAAAGTCGACAGGCTTTTCCACAGGATAGTGAAACTTCAGTATACCACTGAGCTTGAGCTACATTTCAAATGTCATATCATCATAGCTTCACACAGGTAGCAACCAGTTGCAATATGCAGGTAATGCAAGTCCCAATCTGATCATCTTGTTATCTATATATCTCAACAGTATGCAAGTTGGTTGAGTATTGTGCATGGAAAGCTTTGGTTGGGAAGCGCAGAAACGTATCAATTTGGTTGAATTATGTCCATGTCGAAAAAATTGTATAGTGCAAATGTTCAGTCATTGCAATTTGTTTACTTCTGGGGCCTTTGCGTATTTTTGGGGGTTATTTTTGCTTACTTTGCGGGTTTAACCAATGTTGCCAAGCACCGGGACACCTCATTTTGCCATCACGGCAGGGTGGTGGGACCATGGCTCTTCATGGTGGGGCGTGTATACCTGGTATATCTCCAAAAGTTGCATCTAAATTTTGTTGATCTGACACTAGGCATCACTCATGTATGAATGATGACGAACTATCCTTGGTACCACTTGATTTCTGAAAGTTTGATATGTGTTCTTTTGGTGTGGGGAAGAAGGATCTAGAATCCATGGGATTGACATGGCGGATCGATAGACATGAGGACCATGAGGACGCTTAAAGGGTGGGACATGGTGGGACATCGTCCCACAGATGGGGACAATGAGAAAATCATCGCTGGGCCAATGGATATTTCCCCAGGTTAGCTGACTATCCAGTTCTGCTACGAGAATTTTGCTGCCTTGTTCCTGGAGATGAAGATCATCCCTGCTGGCACTTGTATGGACTCGTTTCCTGAAGATTTGCTTAGCAACGTTTGAACGTGGCTGTGAACCAGCTTCCAACCTGACTTGGCACCTCCCAGCGATCCCAGAAGTTTATTAGTATTGGCCGGTTAAATCATGTATTGGCTTCAAATCCCTTCAACCACCATTATATTTCAAGATATTTCAGAAGTTTCTGAGAGTTCCTGAATCTTTTGCTTTCTCCACAGAATTGTGGATTTTCACCACCATTTTCATCATTTTCCCCGGCATCCCAGGAGCCCAACGCACGCCTTCCGGGTCCCTTCATTCAGTGCTGCTTCCCCGTCCTGCGGCGCCTTCTGTCGAGCGAAGCACCGGACTGGATGCGCTTGGAGTTGGACCGGGAGTTCGCGGTGCTGCGGCGGAGGCACTGCTGGGGTGTTTCAGGATCTAAAAGAGGGCCGGATTTTATCATAGAGTATGAATATTATTTTTATTTATATTACATTATATATAAAACTATATATATATGTACATTAGAGTATGATGATGATGATGATGATGATGATGATGTATAGTTATAATGACGACGACGATGACATTTGCTGTCAGACTTTGGATGATTTCAGTTTATAAACGATAAAGTACAGTAAGAATATTTGTGAAAATGATGATTCTAATGATTCTGTAGGTCCAGAGCTGCTGGGTTTTCAGCCGCCAGGTGGAGTGGGCAGGAGCTCAAAGACTTTCAAACCTCGGCCGAGGCCAAGTCGGGCAGGTGCCGAGGGATGAGGAGCTCCAGGAATGTTTTGGACGGTGATTTCATGAGACGGAAGTGCACCCCATATATTTACACCGGAACAGCTATATTCATCTACATCATTATATCACAATTACCAGATTTTCAACTCCAAAATATTCCTCGTGTATTGGATTTACATTCCTTGTGTCACCTTACAAGTTATCGTGCATTTCCAGAGGGTCCTGGTTCAACGCTCCCAGGCCATGTTTGCTTTCGGTGCGCCGCGGCGCCGAGATTCTGCACCATGGACTGGACCAGTGCTGTCCCAGAGATCTCGAAGGTGCAAGACGAGACCTGGGGAACGATGGGATGCCCATGTTATAAGTTGGTTTATAATCCCATGAAAACTATAGATATATCACCTAATATCACCTATATAAACCATAGTGAAATTGGAGTTATAAACCAACTTAGCTATCTAGGGGGCAAATGTTGGGGACGAAGAAACAGTGACAAGAACTGGAACTGGCTTTTGTGTATTGAAACATGTTCAGAATGTCAGAGTTTGAGGCATGCTGTGACTTCCCATTAGAGAAGCAGTCTGCCAAAATGGCACTGCCAGGCAACGACTGTTCATATATCCACTCAGTGGCCGAATCCCTCTTCATCCTGGGCTCTTTGAAGTCCTTGCCCGACATGGACCTGTTGGTCAGTCCCGGCAACCAGGTTGCCTGGCCTAGGATTTCAGCATGCCACTTGTAACTTGAAGCATGTCTTAACAGTCTTAACATGTCACCGGGAGAGTCCCCACCCCTGAAAGTTGCTGTCCAGCCCAACGAAGACCCTTTGAAGCGGTTCAACATCGTTAAGACCATGTAATATCATGTAATGTTTGTTTTGACAAGATCAAAACTGATCAAATCTTACAAGCATCTAGGGTTTCATGGGACACTAATCGCCCAAAACGTCCGCTCCAAACCAAGCCGTGCAAAACCCAGGACCGTATACAGGCCACGGTGCCCGTTTTCACCCGGCACCGAACCAGGGAACGCAGCTTGGATCGTTCAAAAAATCACGGGTTTCTTCGATTTTCTTTGCTGTTTTTAAACGCCATCATTTTTATGAGATATTGACACATATGATTACCCATAGGATCCATGTATACTATATATGGTAACATTTACCATCAATATACCCCAGTCATGTTAGCATATATACCAGCACCATGGATCCTATGGGTTATACATTTGATTGCATATGGTCATATGGTTGTTTAAACACTCTTGGGGCACCCGGTGGCACCTCGAGGCAGCGGCTACGGCGGCTACGTCTTGCTGCCCATGGAGTGGCAGCTGTCGCCCGGCCAAGCGCGGAAGCAGACGGTGGCGGCCACGCGCGTTGCCGGGAGCGACCTTCGGTCCAAGCGCAGCTCGGGCTGGTTGGATCTCTGAAGTTGGTGGTTTACAATGATATGCTACGGATATGCTATGGATTGAGTTGCGTTGCTAACGGTTGTACTAGTATAGTAAGTGAATTTAATGAACATGGGTGGTGGTGGTAGTAGTAGTATTAGTAGTAGTAGTAGTAGCAGTAGTAGTAGCAGTAGTAGTAGTAGTCGTAGTATGTTTTAGTTTTAGCTAATCTTGCTCAACCACACCCCAGTGCAGAACTGTTTATATACGAGTTTCAATCCTAGTTAGTGACTAAGGCTTGGCAAGAAAGTCCGAGAGGTGCCGCACTGCTAAGAGAGAGGTACACATCCCTGGTGAACCACAGTTGGGCCCTGGAAAACCACCAGGTTTTTCCGCCCGGAACGACGCCGTGTCACCGGGCGCCAAGCCGCCAAGGCCAGGGAATCTTTTGGCGCGGAAGCACCTCCAATTGCTTGATGTCCTGCAAGATCCGGCAGGTCTCCAGTGGAGCTGAAACTTGGCGCATTCCAAGAATGGACCGTTTCCCCATGTTTTCTCCGGGCATTCTTGGCAATTTTTTGATAGTACCCCTTATTTTATATATTTTTATATTATATATTTTTGAAATTATATATATATATATATATGCCACACACACATATATATATAGATTGTATATTCTATATGATTTTAGTGTTTTGGACCAACCACTTCAACCACTTCAACCCATATCACCAGCAATGGGGGATCAATGGGGATGGAATAGACGTTTGGACCTGTGGATTCAAGGTGATTGAACCACCTATGGAGAGATGAGTAGTCACGGGGACCGTCATGGGATGGCATTTTACGAATTTGTCAACGGCCACCAGCCATTGATTTTCCCACTGAGCAATCCAGATATATCCAGATCACTCGGGGAAATTATGGTCAATGGAGTCAATGGATTGGTTTAAGGGAAAATCTTAACCGGAAACCATAGATTTTCCCATTAAATATGGGGCTTAAACCAGTAAATTTTCCCTTGTCCCCAATCCATTGATATGGGATTTCCAACTGGATTTCTTTCCGGTGCCAGCCCTGCAAATCCCAGGAACCTTGGAGCCAATGTTTACAAAGCTACGACTGCCAAACGCCTTTGTCCTTCAAGAATTTCATGAACACACCGAGGCGTGGTCCGATTTCTCGGACACAACTGACAGATAAAAAGTGATACTACTGTAGCTAGATATGCTGGATGCTGGATTGTGGGGTGAAAAAACAGGTGCCATATATTCATGCCATGCCAGTGCCGGGTTTGTGCTGGATCTACCAGCTGAGCATCCATTTCATGTCATTTGTAGGGCATTCACCAGAAGTTTCAGGTGTTTAGATGCTGCCATTTCATTCAAACTTACCATTTATTGACATGGATTTGCCATCAGCTGAAGATGGAAAAAGATCATCAGCCCACCCTGACTGTCCATGGTGATGCAGGGGTCGGCTGGTTTTAGCCTCGCAGTTCGTCGAAAATGTGGACGCACGCTTTGTAGGGATGGCTAATCCTGTGGAGGAGGAGGTGTGGGATTTCCTGGTGCCTCGGCGCAGAGTTTTTTCAGCCAAAGCCGCGATTTCACCAAAGGTTGGGGGGAATGGTAAAATCCTACAGCGTCTACAGCTTTGTGGCCGTATGAGTTCCTAAGAATATATGTATATATTTTTAAGCAAGTGGTTTGCAAGGGTGTGATGGAAAAGATATGAAAAGATAGTCAAAACACACACACACACAGATATATATATATAATTATATATAATAATATATAATTATAATGGTCATTAGATGTCCTTAGGTGAAAATTCTGTGCTAGCAGAATTTCCCATGGTTTGCCGAAGCCTAAAGCAGCACCGGATCAGATGTAAGGTAGTAAACCCAATGCTATAAACCATCCCATTCACCAACCATTCGGGCGTCAAATTTACAACGTCCCATTAAATACTAAGGGCATACCCAAGGTGCCATAACCTCTATTGGAGATGGTTTATTATTGGGTTGACCACATTGCTACTTGAACATGTCCCCATGTGCTGATTTTTTCCCAAAAAAAACCTCGCCCAGGTGAAGAACAATCTCACGGAGCAACGCGTGAATCAACTGGAGGAGGCCCAGTGGAGCTATGCCATCAATGTGGATGGCACTGGAAGTGGTGATCGCATCTATTGGTCCATGGGCAAGATTTACCGGATCTTTGGGGCTGGAGTTCATATGATATCATGATATGACCATGGTAATCACGCTCCCATAATAAGTTGGGATATTGGGCCCCTATAACTATGGTCATATGATGTCATATGTCAAATTACAAGTGGAATCGTGCCCCCAAGCGGATGGAGCGGACCTGAGGCTGGAGGATACAGCTTGCAAGCTATGTGTAAGCTGCACGTTTGTTGTTGGTCATCTCCATTTCCAGTAGGCTTTCACCTCCCTGGAGGCCTTTCATAGATCGTGATTTACACGCAAAAAACACGGGTGATCTTAACTACAACCAACCTGGTTTAACATGTTTTAATATTTTTTCATATAGCTCTTCAGCCACAAATCTTGACTACGAAATGTAGGTATCTAGGAAATCTAGGGACCTCTGAGCAACCTCGCTCCAAGGCAGATGCTGATGCGCAAGGTGGTTCTGGTTCAAGAAAGTGCCTGGGTCTCCTGGTTATTGGGACCCGTGCCGCCCGTGCCTTCGGATCCTTCGGACGGAGCTGAAGCTCCGGCGGCACTGCGACCCGGTGGGACCAGTTTTTTGGCGGGAATCATCCCACAGAGATTTGATTTGGGGAGTTGGTGGTCACTTGTTAAGGGACGATTGAACGTGGCTTAGCTTAAGTGATTTTCGGATGAGTTGGAGGTTGGAGGCAGGAAAATCTTACTTGGACTCGTACACACACACAGATATAATATATATGTATATATATATTTATATGTATGATCTCTATATATCATTATATATCGCTATTACTCAAAGTGCCTCTTGACTTTTCACACGGATTCACATGATCCCATCATTTTCCAGGACCCCAGATTCCCTGGTGAAAATTCAGCTCGTTTGTTGCTGTACCTTGGCCCTCCAAATACCAAGTAGCCAGGGTCACGATACCAAGTGGACATCAGAGAACTATAGAATTGAGGAAAACACCAGGATCTGGGGCTAGAATTGATTATATATATATATTATTATAGATATGAGTATTAATTCGAATTAATTCTAGAGAATTTATTGAAGGTGTTCCCGGGTGTCCCGGGTGTAGCCATTGCTGTCCCCAGGCGCCCTTGGGAACACTACCTGCCGCTGCGCATGGACTTGGCCGACCTGAGCCAACGGCTGCGCTGGTTGGACGCGCACCCAGAGGAAGCAGAGAGGATCGCGGAGACAGCTGCACGATGGGCCAGGGAATTTCTGAGCCACCTGGTGGATCCTGGTGCCGGTGACCACTTCACGGCCAAAGCCGGGGCTATGGCATGCTATGGCTATAGGCCCTACATGGCCCTATTGTACATGAAATATGGGATAATACCATATAATACCGGTGATTTTTCAAAGAAATGGTATATATATACACATGTAATTACGCGCACACATGTATATACGTATAGAATTCCAAGAATGATATGATAGGTCCAGGTGGGTGAATCTGACAAGCATGACGCCAAAATCGTCAGTGAATGGGGGATATGGTGGTGTATGATGATTCGGATTGAATTTAAGGTACCCTGTTTTTGGAAACTCACAAATCTCCGTAGAATAAAGCACGCGATATATCAATCAATTGCATGTGGTCGAACATGTTCTGTCCCAAAAGGAAGGAGTATGTAACAATGTAACAGTTCAACCCTGTTCAGCCCAAAGAGCTTTCGTTTGCGGTCAAGAACGCACCTCAAGACCACCCGGACGACCCTTGGCTCAGGCTATGATTGGATATTGTACTACTTGGATTGTGCTGTTCGACGGTATGCAGAGTTCCACTTCGACCCCGCAACCCTTCTGGACGTGCAGAACGCCAGTCGTTTGGTGTAAGAAGCCGATGGTCAAATGTGTTAAGATAGATCGAGCACAGCGGAATGAAAGGAGGAAGACTTGAAGGACAGGGAGAGTTGGATTTGTCGATTTGTTGCCCTGTTGCCCCTGGAGGAGGACAGGCCAGGACACAACTGCATCACGACAGGTCCTTTTCCCATGGTGACCGGGAACTAAAGGGGCCCCAGATAGAAACCCGACTCACCATCAAGATGGCATGATGCTATGGGAATTAATATGAATTAATGCTCCTGGTGGTTTGTGGCCCCTTGCCTCAGGACTTCCTCCTTTCAGCGCTTTTGGCTGCGGAAAAGACTTTGGGCTACAGGGTGGTCAATCTCATTGAGGGCTCTGATAGAATGACAGGGGAGTCGACTCCAAACCCGGAATGGTTGCTTGATCCCTGGGCACCCGAAAAAGGGGCCTGGATTCCTGGCAATGTTGGGGAAAACCCCAGCATGTTTCGGTGAAATCCCAACTTTCTGTTGGCAAATCCTCTTACAAAAGACTTCTTAGGGCCTGGTGACTTCATGTTGGATTTCAAGGCTCTTCTCTGCCAGTTCACAGGCACCGCCCACGAGGGCTTTGCGAAGACAGCCCAGAAGCTGCTGAAGGCCGGGCTTGTCTGAAAATGTGGTAGCCTAGGGTGTACACCCGAACAGCCATCGTGGGGTGGACAATGGTAGACACCATTTACAAACCCATGCTGGCGGTGCCGGGTCTTCCAGCCCAAATAGGTTACAAATTCCTACCCGGTCAGGAAATAGAAGGCATCTTGCGTGAGGAGCTGGCGGCACACCCGGTCACATGGCCCGTGGATCGGTGGATCAGCCAGATCTTTGCCGACTTGAGCCAAATATGGACTTGCACACCATTTTGATATATTTTAATACCATTTCAGGCCAGTTTTTAACACCTTCACTTTGTAAATCTTGGTATTCTTCGATCATTTTTGAACCCACCAGGTTTTGAACATTTCACTCCGACCCCATGTGGGCCCATGTGGGCCCATTCTGCCCGATGGCCGAGACCTACCAGTTGGTCTTCTGCGGTCACAGCATGGGGGGTGCCTTGGGGGCCATGTGCGTCGCCATCCTCCGAGCCAAGGTGCCCTGACCCACCTGACCCACCTGACCCGCCTGACCCCCACCAGGATGGTGCTTTCTGGGGAGATTTCATGGATTTTGGCGATTTGGATTTTTCAACTTCCAGATACTTCCAGAGCCTATAGCTACTATAGCCATCTATAGCTGCTATAGCTGAGCTCACAAGGCAGGATAGATGGGATCAGTCTCCCAGTGACCCAGCCCTTGGATTTGGAGGCGTCTATCCCCGAGACGCGTGCGGCGTACACCTGGGCCAAAGGTTGCTGCTTGGATGAGGTAAACAGCTGTTAAATTTGACGGATCAGGATGATCAGGAGGTCAAAATGATGTCATGATGTCGCAATGATGTCATAATAGATATATAATAGAGATATAATCGATATATATATAATAGATATATATATATGTATAATAGACATATAATAGACATATAATAGAGATATAATAGGAATTAATAGGACATAATGATCTCTCCCTCCCGGTGGCTTCGGCATTGGCGCCGATGCGAGCTTTTTATACCGAGGTTTGGGGTCTCTAAATTTTGTTTGTCGTTTGGCGTGGCAGATGCATTGCACAATCTTGAGACTTTGGAAGTCAAGTGGCTCATTATATGCCATATACATGGATGATATATATATATATATATGATGTATAGGTATGGTACAGATGGTATAAATGGTATATATATATGTATATATTATATACCATATATACATGGATAATATGAGATTCCAACCAAACTATGTTTCAAATAGAAAAAGCCCTGAAGGGCCACCGGCACTGTTCAACGAAACACCTTTAAGATCCTTTAAGTGAATAGGGATCAAATCGCCGTGAGACAAATGATCAGCCCAGCGATTTGAGAGCTGCAGATCCCAATTTCCATTAGCAAGATTTTGTGCCACTGACATGAGAGGAGGGCAGCTTAATTCTAATCCATTACTTTTAGATGCTTTCGCCGCCGGCGCACTTTTCTAATCTGTTTCGACGGTCAACTTCCAGGCTGGTTTTTCAGGGAAACACTCATCCTCCATCTCGTGCCTTTGTAAAATCTCATGCCACACCACACTGCTGAACTTGCATTGCTGGACTGGATCCAAATGGTTATTCATCCTTCAAAGCCCTTTTCATGGAGGTTGGTCAACCTTGGTCAGATAGTAATTTAATCTTTTGCCAAAACTTAACGATTTCTTGGGAGGTAGCTAAGATCCACTCATGATTCCATGTTAGATAGTCGGATTCCCTAAGAAGGGGAGTTGCTTCGCCATGCTTCGCCCAAAAAGGTCGAGCCTTTGGGATTGGCACCCCCGCGGTCTTGTCGCGCAATCTTGGGGAGTCGCTGGCGCAGCAGCAAGCAGTGTACACGTTGGTGAATGCACAGGAGAACGTGGAGAAGATCGTGGGATGGATTGATGAGATTTTAATCCCAACTGTTGGCATTCTGCTGCTGTCAAAATCCAATAAATAAACCTTAACTATATATATATTATATCAATATATGTATATATTATATCAATATATGATATATATATATATATATGAGATATGGTAACTCCATGTAAGCCCATGTAGCTCCCATCAACCAAGCGATCGCAGGAAGTAAAGTCAAGTGTGAGCATTGGTCCTCATAGCGTTGCAGGGCATGACAGTTGAGACTGGTCACTCCGCTTTTTCCATCCTTCCCCCCTATTCAAGTGAGAAGAGGCGAGATGGATCCAGATTCAGATGGTCAAGAGGAACATGTCGGATCTAGTGGCCACCACATGGCTAATTCCCTCCAGTTCACCATTCATCACCCTTCGATGAACCTCCTAGTTACAGGTTACAGGTGGGTCAAAGCCATTCAAAGCCCCAAGTCATGCTCTCGCAATCCTATCGTCCTGGCAATGGGAGATCCCTTGTTTTGAAACATGCAATGTGGCGAATCCAATAGTAAACCAACCTTTTGGAGATAGTTTGTGCATGTTTGTACCATTCTGATTCTAATTCATTTCATACCACCTATCTGTGACAAAAATGGGGTATACCGATTTTTTTTCCCCCCATTTTGGCTTACCACATAGGAGAGGTATAGAAAATACATGAAAATACCTTCCCCCCAATGATTAAAAATCCATAAACCATGGTTAAGTAGGGGATGAAACCACATTTCAGGGACCATACCATGGGATGTTTAACATACGCCAGGATTGGTCGCCGCGCGCATCTCTTTCGAGCCTCGGAAGTGGAGATATGCCATCATGCCATCATGATCATGGTGGTTCATGATAATTCATTAAAAAAAATCATGAATTACTCATGATAATTGATGATCATTCATGATCATTCATGATAGTTCATGATCATTCATGCCATTTTCCCGTTTTTTTTTTTCTACCGGTTGCTTCCAATGATTGAAGCAACATCCTGTTTTAAATCTCTGTGATATGCTTCTAGTCGGTTAAATCCCCAAAGTCTTACTGGCAAAGACAATTTTCAAACAAATGCCAATGTTTAAACCACCATCTTTGCGGTAAAACCATGTAAAAAACAATGTAAAAAACCATGTAAAACTGTAAAACCATATACAATCAACATGGGTCAATGATTTTCATCGAGTTTTCCCAAGTTTTCCCCCGGTTTTCCCCCTGAAGTCTCCATGTTTCATCCGTGCGCGCCAGGAACGCCACGGAGCTCTTGGACGACCTCTGCGAGCTCAGCGTGGCGCGCACCGTGGCGCGCCTCGTCTCGGGCGCGGCCTACGGCGACGCTCGAAGCGGGGCCGAGTTGCCGGAGGCGGAGGCTGCGACAATGCGGCCTAGGTCTGAACATCATAATTAAATCGACATCTATTTGTATAAAATTATACATATATACATACACACACATATATATATATATATGCTACAACACTCTATAGCTATAACATGCTATAACATGATTTTATATATAGTTATAGATAGTTATAGTCATAGTATAGATATGTATATGTATATATATATATATGTGACATGTGTCTCTAATGCGATTTATTGCCATGTTAATTTGTATTGATTTAACGGAAAAAAACAGCCTTGACGCAGGTGGAACATCTTCCTCCAGGCGTTATTCTTCAGATCGTACCGGGCAAGGAGCGCTGCGGTCAGCTTTCATATTTTGATCCACTTGTGTACTGTACTTATAATATATAGGAGGGGTATTAATTATAATTATTGATATTTTCAAGGGTTTTTTCCTTTTCAGTCTGGCTTCTTGGCTTTTCTGACTTTTGTGTGGCTTCTGATTTCTTGGCTTTGGCGGCTTTTAGCTTAGTTTATGACTTATATATAAAGTTTGCAACCGTTTTTGTGGCTTTTGTGGCTGTTGTGGCTTTTATAGCAAGGACACGTGCCCTAGACTAGACCGAAAAAAAATCCTTTAACAAAAAGTACCAATCAAAATCTGCACCCTTATATAATATATAATATATGTATATATACATAGCGATAGGGAGAGAGAGAGAGAGAGAGAGTGAGAAGGATAAACAATGATACTGTAAACACACACATATATATATACATATATGTATATCTCAATAAATGCGTATAATTACACACTCAGAAGCTAAATAAACACACGGTATCTAAGATTGGCCATGAAATGGGGAGATCACCAGGCTCCTATCGACAGAAATTTCTTTTGGGGGTTGAGGCTACAGAAACCCTACATATCTTGCACTGGGCCAAGTGGCCAAGTGGTCTGGAAGCCTCTGAAGGGTAAATCCAAGCCGTGTAGACCGTGTAGACACAGCTCCAGGAGACAAAGTTGCTCAAAGCTTCGGTGGTTGACTACAGACATTCATTTCCAGCGTGGCCAGATGTTGCTGCACACATCCCGCTGGCATACATTGAAGGCAGCTGGGCTGACAAAATTTTGGGCGCATTGGAAGGCTTTAAACTCTCTAAACGAGGTTCTTGTCATATTGATTCTATGTGATTTTATCATTGCTATCGATTTGCCATGGGTTCATAAGCTCATGGTTGTTGAACAGCTTTGTTTAATACAGGGTCTCCGCTTGGAAGCCAGTTTTCTCCCCAAGGCCTTGCGATAGGGCTCCGGCAATACATCGCCGCTGACTTCAGCAGGGCCTACTGCATTTTGGGCTCAATGCAGTTGCAGCATCATAGATGCGAGTGTGCCTGTTTACCTATATGATCCTACATTGCTATACATATGTTATACAACATAAAGCATTTACACACATATACAGACACACATATATATATATATGATATATATATATATACACCATATATATATATATTTATCATATATATATATATGTGATATATATAATATTATATATATCATATATATATATATATGTATATATCACACACACACATATATATATATCATAAATAAATAAATAAATAAATAAAAATAAATAATAATAAAAAAAAAATAATAATAATAATATATATATAGATATCACATATATAATATATATATATATATATATCACACACACACATATATATACACATAGATCTACGGTAGTGTGTCCTGCTTCAGAGATTTTCGGACTGTTTCCATTGTGTGTCATCCCTTCTCCCCTCGGTCCGTGGGATCGCGGTCGAGGTCAACCGGCGGCATACCAGGCCCTGGGCCGCGTGATGGACGCCGCCGCCTGCTGTGACAAGGCCAAGCTGCCCAACTTCCCCGACCAGGCGCTGCGGACGTTGGTGGATGTTGGTGATTTGAATCAAAAGCGCTGTTGAGCAACAAAATCAAGATGAGGAATATTCATGAATATTCCCGAAAGACTGATGAATACTGATGTGCCTGATTGAGCCAATTCATCTGCGTGCTATCAGCTTCAAACACAGTACCATAGCTGCGTACCCCCTTAGGCTAGATTGGTCGTGACTGAGCAGTTGAAGCACTTGGGTGGTAGCAGCCTTGCGCCCCTATGAGCTGCTGAAAAGCTGCGGCGTGAATCTGATGAGCTGGTCGACTTGCCATCCAAATTTCTTCAGATATCCCATTACATCCTTTGTGTGTTCAATCATGCCACACATCCACATGACATTTTTCCCTATTTTTTAAATGATGATAATGATGTAGATTTCCAAATATTTCCAACTGCTTGTTGAGAAGACATCTCAAATCTCAAATCCCAAACACTCCATTAATATCCTACTAGACAGTCTCCCAAGAAACATCCACTGTGAAAAAGTCGAACAAAGTCCAAAGTGGAAAAATACTGAAGATAAATAGTGGATAATAGTGGCAAATAATTGTGCATTAAAATTGCTACCTTCTAATTACCTCAAAATCAGAAAATTTCGTAGACGTGGTTCAAATTACTGAGATTAATGTGAGAAATCCAATAACACACCTACCATTCGGGGATGGTTCTGCTTTTTGCATCCATATTATCATTACTAGGATTCCCAATCATTCCCAATAATTACTATTACGATATATATATATGTACATATTAGATATTATCACCATAGTACTACTACCCATATTAATACTATAATAATACCCATCTCACATTACTAATACCATAATATCACTGTTACTAGTACCATAATACTATGAGAATAGGTATATTACAAAAAATCACCATTACTATTACCATATTACTATTACCATATCCCATCATAATACGATCATTGGCTGCCACTGGCTGACTGGTAGTGACTGGTAAAAAATGAGGCTCCAGCAGCAGCCTGGAGGAGGTGCGGAGCAGCTCCAGGACGTGATTCTGATGGCATTTCGGCATGGTTTTTTTGGATTTTGGCATAGGATTTTTGACCAGAACTCTGGATTTTGCAATGATTTTAAGGAGATCAATATACTCTGTAAGATTTGAGGATTCTGAATCAGACTTTCTCTTTGCGTTTGAAGCAAGAATGGGAGTTTGATCTGTGAGAATTGGGACTATTCTTGAGGTTTGAATGGATAGGACAGATAAATGTCCACAACCTGGGGAGGTGTAGATGGTGATGTTGCTGGCCAGGAGCCGCAGTCCCAAGAAGGTGGAAGGGAAGACCGGCACTCCAAAAGAGACGAAAGCCAAGTCCACCCCTGAGATTGAGCAGGTTCCATTGCGCGAGGGGAAGCACTGGTACTTTTGGCTGGGTTGACATGAGTTCTGGATCCCTCAAAATTTTGGTTTCTTACTATTGGACTTATGTTATCTGCATTTCTTTTATTGGTTCTGGAGTGCCGTGGCCAGTGCATGAAAATTGGTGTGTTTGGAATCTAATAGTAGCAGATTTGTCATGTGTCAGGACTGCAAGTGTTTGGCCAGTTTTTGGCATTAATCAAAGTTTTGGGTGGTACAGCGGCTTGAAGAACCTCAGGCTTTTCACCAATTCCTCCTTGGACGCTCCAATACAATACTGCAAATATGGAGAACAACCTCTTGGATCTGACTTAAGTTAAGTGTGAGTTTCTCCCAATTTTTTCCAAACACTTCAAGTCCTGAAAATCCTTTACCCATTATGCTAACATAGCTATATTTTCTATGGCAAATGGCCCATTGATGATTTACATTCGGTCCCTCGGCTCAGGAGATCCCAATTGTCCCCATTGAGCGGTGGCTGATGGGGTTATACTACCTTTATTACCTATACCTATACGTACTCAAATGGGGATCATCATGTTTAATGGGGTTATCATCATTTTACAATATTTTACCTGTTATATGGGGGTTATCATAATTACTATACTATATTCATACATACCAATACTACTATACGATAGTTATCAAATAATCATACTAATTGATATTCATCATGATTAAATAAACACAATTATCACTCGGTCCGACCCCTTTTCCACAAACGGGAATCCCGCGAAAGGCGAAGCTTGAAGCACTGGAGAAACTGAGAAAACTTCAGGCCTCGATGCCGATTCAACAAACAATTTTTGTGAGTTACCCTCTGGTAATTTAACATGCTATTGAAAATAGCCATTTATAGTTGATTTTCCCATTAAACATGGTGATTTTCCATAGCTATGTTAATTTACCAGAGGGTAAGCAACAAACCTGGGGAGATTCAACTGCTAAAGATGGTGGGTTAACTATCCCAGACAGGGAATCTTTGCCGACCACATTTTTGGGGCAAAAAAATGCCGATTTTGGGGGGATTGAAGCAATTTAACTGGCAGCAAAACTGGCTGCAACATATGGATTCAAGCGGCAGCGCTGGGGATTGGTTTTCTTATGGAGGAATGTTGGACCAGCCAGTCATCGATTGATCCTGGGAGAGGCCACAAAAATGAATGCCAATGCAAACTCTCCGGTGCAAAGTTGAAGAATCTAAGCCAACAAATCATCAAAATGTGGGCAAAAAACAGTTTCAACAAGATCAGCACGATATCGTAAGATATGATTAAATATATATATATACGTATGTATGTATCTCTAGGTCTATCTACCTATCTTACTTATCTATTTTACTTATCTATCTCACTTATCTATCTTACTTATCTATATTACTTATCTATCTTACTTGTCTATCTTATTTGTCTATCTTACTTGTCAATCTTACTTGTCAATCTTACTTGTCAATCTTACTTGTCAAACTTACCTTTCCTATTCTATCCTATCCTTTCCATCCTATCCTATCTCTCCTATCCTATCTCTCCTATCCTACCTCTCCTATCCTATCCCTCCTATCTCTCCTATCTCTCCTATCCCTCCTATCTCTCCTATCTGTCCTATCTATCCTATCTGTCCTGCCTATCTATCCTGCCTATCTATCCTGCCTATCTATCTATCTATCTATCTACCTATCTATCTATCTATCCATCCTATCCTATCCTGTCCTGTCCTATCCTATCCTATCTCTATCTATCTCTATCTATCTCTATCTATCTCTATCTATCTCTATCTATCTCTATCTATCTCTATCTATCTCTATCTATCTCTATCTATCTCTATCTATCTCTATCTATCTCTATCTATCTCTATCTATCTCTATCTATCTCTATCTATCTCTATCTATCTCTATCTATCTCTATCTATCTCTATCTTATCTCTATCTATCTCTATCTATCTCTATCTATCTCTATCTATCTCTATCTATCTCTATCTATCTCTATCTATCTCTATCTATCTCTATCTATCTCTATCTCTATCTATCTCTATCTATCTCTATCTATCTAGCTATCTATCTAGCTATCTATCTAGCTATCTATCTAGCTATCTATCTATCTATCTATCTATCTATCTATATCTCTATCTATCTATCTATTTATATATCTATCTATCTCTCTATCTATCTATCTATCTATCTATCCATCCACCTGAATCCATCTTTCTATTTATCTATCTATCTATCTATTATCTATCTCTATCTATCTCTATCTATCTCTATCTATCTCTATCTATCTCTATCTATCTCTATCTATCTCTATCTATATCTCTATCTATCTCTATCTATCTCTATCTATCTCTATCTATCTCTATCTATCTCTATCTATCTCTATCTATCTCTATCTATCTCTATCTATCTCTATCTATCTCTATCTATCTCTATCTATCTGTATCTATCTCTATCTATCTCTATCTATCTCTATCTATCTCTATCTATCTCTATCTATCTCTATATATCTCTATCTATCTCTATCTATCTCTATCTATCTCTATCTATCTCTATCTATCTCTATCTATCTCTATCTATCTCTATCTATCTCTATCTATCTCTATCTATCTGTATCTATCTCTATCTATCTCTATCTATCTCTATCTATCTCTATCTATCTCTATCTATCTCTATCTATCTCTATCTATCTCTATCTATCTCTATCTATCTATCTCTATCTATCTCTATCTATCTCTATCTATCTCTATCTATCTCTATCTATCTCTATCTATCTCTATCTATCTCTATCTATCTCTATCTATCCTTCTATCTCTATCTATCTCTATCTATCTCTATCTATCTCTATCTATCTCTATCTATCTCTATCTATCTCTATCTATCTCTATCTAGCTCTATCTATCTCTATCTATCTCTATCTATCTCTATCTATCTCTATCTATCTCTATCTATCTCTATCTATCTCTATCTATCTCTATCTATCTCTATCTATCTCTATCTATCTCTATCTATCTCTATCTATCTCTATCTATCTATTTATCTATCTATCTCTATCTATCTATCTCTATCTCAATCTATCAATCAATCTATCTCTATCTATCTCTATCTATCTCTATCTATCTCTATCTATCTCTATCTATCTCTATCTATCTACATGCATGTATTGTTATGGCATTATCTTTTTGCAATGGTGTGTATGTTATCCAATATGCTTCTCGCGCCGCCCAGTCGGTGGAGCCGAAAGAGGCGCGCGCCAAGGAGTGGAGAGCTTTGTGACGAGCTGAGCCGGCGCTGATGGGGGCGCTTGGGTGGTTCCGAAATATTTAGATGTGTATAATTAATGTAGTATAGCATATAGACATATAGATGTGTATAGTATATAGATGTCTGTAGTGTATAAATTTTGTTCTAGTGCACCTTAAGTTGGTTACATTTGAGTATAGTATGGTGTTTAAGTAGTGGCAAAACCAATGAATAAAGCGTCCATAAACATTTGATGGTAAATGCATAACAGTACCATATCACATCACATAATAGTGTGAATATGTGTAATTAGTGGTACACAAAAAAATAAACAATCCCAAAAAACACCATAAATAGGTTGGATTAAAACCGTCCCCACATGAGTTGACCACACTATGTATATCAAATGTGATGTATACACATGCATACTAGAACTACAGTATCCGTACTTCATGACATCATGATGGACAGTGGCGGGGACGATACACTACTCTCAGTGAGGTTAAGGGATTGGCATCCCGACAAAAATCCAGACAAAGTGGAGGCCCTGTTGGGAGTTGAATTTTGAGACGCAATGTGGAGGAATTTGATGAAGTTACATTGGTTCAATGGCCATTTCAGGAACATATCAGAGTAAATCAGGATGATTTCAGATGCCTTTCCATTTCGGCAGCCTGCAACTCGTTGTTTTCTGGACCAATCACCGCGCCACAGCCAGGTGGCGAAAGAGGTCTTCCAATTCCTCCAGAAGGGCAACTGGATTGCACTGGGTGCTGCACCACTTGGAAAGGTTTACTTCCTCATACTTCCTCCCAGGCACTGTCATCATATTCGTATATATATATATATATTCGTTGTTTCCACATCCACCACAATTATATATCCTTGTCCAACAAGTCAATCATTCCTTGATCTTCATGTTCATGATGTTCATGATGTTCATCATGACCATCATATTATTCATCAGTCGCAACAGAAGCAACATGATTGTTGCCGTCGTCGTCATCATCATCAACAACATCATCATCATCAACATCACCAACATCATCAACATCATCAACATCATCAACATCATCAACATCATCAACATCATCAACATCATCATTCATTCATCATTCATCATTCATCATTCATCATTCATCATTCATCATTCATCATCATCATCATCATCACCATCACCATCACCATCACCATCATCATCATCATCATCATCATCATCATCATCATCATCATCATTGTCGTCGTCATCATCATCATTATCATCATCGTCGTCATCATCATCAGCCCTTTCGATAACTTGACATTCCGTCTCCACATGTTCCCCAGACAGCCAAGGAAAGACAATTATCAATGTCTGAGCTGCTTCCGCCATGTGTCATCGCAAACTCCGGATGAAACAGAAAATAACTCCCATTGCCGCCCTATGCAGTACTTCGCTTTCTGATGATTCGTAATTCCTCCTGTGGGAGTGACCCGTCCAAAACTTGAAGATCTTTCCGATTTTTGCCCATAGACAGATAGATGTTGACAACAACTGTCTTAAGTTTCGAGAGCTTGCGGATGGCAACTGTTCGGAAGTAGCAGCATCCACGGGCGGTGCTCGGAACGATGCAGCTCAGAGAAACTCTCCCCCCGAAGTGACAACATCGACCCACTGTCCTTCTGCAAAGTTGTGAGGCTGCTCCACGGTTTGCTTAGCCTTATTGCACGACACTGTTCGTTTTTTAGTGCTGTTTGTTAAAAGATCATGATGGTGGTTGTTTATGGATGTATGCATGTATATATATGCATTGTTCAATATTACCGTATTGTAAATGTGGATAACACCCACCTTATTTCCCCGTCATTAGCCCACGGCTATTTCTGGTTTTTGATTATATTCCCACTACCATGTTTGTTTGTTGTTGTTGTTGTTGTTGTTGCTGTTCTTCTGCGCTGACTTCTTGCTGTTCCATTTTCAATGATTTTCACACAGTGGGTGATCTTCTCGTGAACTGCACCACCGCGGCCCCGTCTCAGTCCGTGGCTGGCGCGCTGCCGAACTTCCAAATTGTCATGAGAAGGATCAAGGATGACCCCTGGAGTCAGAAAATGCTTGGCTTAGTAACTCAGTTGTTGAAGTCAGAAGCCTGTGGTATGAACTAACCTGCTAGCTTCAGGGAACATTGTACCACCAACAACCGTTCAATCCATACCCCAATGTTCTACTTATATATATATAATTATATATATACCTAATCAAGTTTGATCCATAGCATGGGTTAGTTGAACCCCAACTTTTGAAAAAGTTAATCTACCTATAATAATTTAATCATCATACTACATTTACCATCTTCGTTTCATCCATACCATCAATAGGTTAGTGAAGCACCCTTGTCAATGGATTTGTTCAAGAGAAAACCTGTAGGACGCCATGGTTTTCATCAAACCAATCCAATGACCTTTCTTCATACGGATTGGTTTAAGATAAACTAATCCAATGACCGGGAGATGTTTTTCTTTAAACCCACCATTAAACCATCATATACAACCCATTTTCTTACCATCTTCGCAAAAAATGTTACAACCACCCCTCGTCGGCGCGGATCCGCGGAACAAAAAGCTGCGGCGCGAGGCGACAAGACGGTCTCAAATGTCGCGGAAAAAGGGAGCGAAATCCAGGGGAGTCCATAGATTTTTTTCGATGTGAACAGATGATTTTTTCGATGAAATTTCAATGATTTTGGTGGAAATTTCCATCATGGTGTCGAAACTTGGCAAAGTATGAATTTCGCACGCTGCCCCTGGCTCTGGTCAAGGTCTCACATGGCTGAAGTATGGTCGTTCCAAGTCGCTACCAAGTGTGAGATCCCAGCAGAATCACTGGTAAACCATCCCGCCATCCTTTGAATATCTTTGGATACTGCTGGTGGCCGGCATTTTCGGGCCCCGAGATTGTCCAACTCTGTCCAACTCAGATCTGCCAACTTGAACGAGACTCCGAGACCAGGCCACCCAACCAATCCCAACCAGATGTATCCAGATATATAGCTAGACAATGCTAGACATATATCTATAGATTCTATAGCTGGCTGGTGGCAAGACGGGCTGATCCCACCAGTGATGCAACGGGCTAAAAATCGAGGGGTTTTCTTCAGCACCTCCGACGGATCACAACGGTTGATCCTCATGGCTGCTAGGCGCTTGTGCGGGCCTTAAGAAACTGCCGTCGGGTGATGGTGGTGAAAAACATCGCACTGATCTTATCTGATCTTGGCTTGGAAGATGTCAGGTTTATTGTTTTGATCCTGTTTTCGCTGCTGTTTGTGAGTGTTTTTCCTTTCAAATATGTTCATTCCCATTGGTACGCGAAATGCTGATCCCAATCATTATCAATGGTACTCAATAAAGGGGGTTAAGGATGGTTAAGGCAACACCAGTGACTATGCTTGAAAGGAATTTGAATGCCAATCGGCCCAGGCTGATTTTAGATAGATGACAACCATGGTTCAGAACTGGCTTGAGCAACCGTGAGGTTATGATTGTGGCAAGTTTTCTCAAAGATCCTCTTCAAATCTCTTCCCTAGTTTTCAATCGTGCAAATTCCACAGATCTTAAATATCCGACGGTAGTTTCCCAGCTCCCCTCAGGTTTGCGCAAGTGCGGTTGCCCAGGGGTGGATTTTGACGATAGGATCCGATAGGCGTTGGGCGTCCCCGATTTGGGAAGCTCCCGACTTATGGCATCCTTGAGGCACTGGGAAAGGCCCTGAGCAAGAAGGATGGCCGGAAGCTGAGTTGATGGCCCAAACTTTAAATTTCGCATTGGCTTGAAACGCAGCATTACTTGGATGTGCATCCCAGTACGTAGCTAGTAAATGTTCGTTAATGTCAAGGACCCTGATCCAGTTGCAAATGGGCTAAACTCATGTAAAAAGTGAAATATGAAATTATATGAATGTATGCAACAACAATCACACGTACATATATATATACATATGCACATACATATTATACATATGCATATCTATATCTATATCTACATCTATATCTGGTATCTCACATATAATTATATCTCATCTATGTCTATCCCTATCTATCTATCTATCTCTATCTATCTCTATCTATCTCTATCTATCTCTATCTATCTCTATCTATCTCTATCTATCTCTATCTATCTATCTATCTATCTATATGTATTACATTTGATATAATATATGGGTATCATCTAAGTGGATCTAAGTGGTCTACCCCCTACCGACAGCTATCGTATCCCCAAGGCCCAGACGAGGAGGGCGCTGATTCGGCCAAAGCCAGTTTGGCGCCAGCCGTGAAGCTGGTGCCGCGGCCAGGCAGAAAAGGGCATCCCATCTGGATGACTGGGTTATTTAATGGGATTTCATAGTAATTTAGTGGGGTTTCATCTGGATTTCATAGTAATTTAGTGGGGTTTCATCTGGATTTCATAGTAATTTAGTGGGGTTTCATCCCGATTTCATAGTAATTTAGTGGGGTTTAGTGGGAATTAATGGTATTTTATGGTGATTTATAGGGCTCCAGCCAACAAAAATGATCAAACATGGGGATATGATTGGGAACTACTGGTTATTTAACATAGCTATGGAAAACGGTGAATTTGTTGATGATTTATTGCTCTTTACCTATAGCCTATATTGATGGTTATTTTCCTATGTTAAACTACCAGAAGCAATTTCTGGGGTTAAAACCCACTTGCTAACTGGGATGAACCACCAAGTAGCCTCTTTCTTTTTTCTTCCGGAACACAGTTTTTCTCTTCGGAGAACCATGGGAAAACTTTCAACAAATGCAGGGAGGGGCCTTGTAATTATCATATTCCTGGCGATGAAAATAGATTGATCGGCATCTCGGAGCACTCTATGGCTCTCTTTCACTTCCCATGCCCTTTCGGAGGCTTGCCTCGGTCCAAGGTGGGTCGTGGCTCGTGGCCACACCTTGGAATGTGTCATGGGCCGGTTGGGATGGAATGGTTGTTGACAAGTTTACCAAGTTCACCATCAGTTCATCAAAAAAGTTCCGAATGTTGCCAAGAAAAAAATCTCAGTTCCATCATTTTCTATCATGATCTTCTGCATATTTCTGCCCGAAAACTGATGCCCCGACACCTCCAGGTGCAGTTGACGCCTCCATCCCAACCTCAGGCGATGACTTTTGGGATTTCCCAGCGATGCTAAGGGGAAAATGAGAGATTTTTTCACGGGAAAAACTATGGTTCAATATTTTTTTGAACAATGATAGTTGATGATATTTATATGACAAACAGTTAGCAATGGGCTTATAATGGTCAATTGGATATTTAGTGGGATACCCTTTGGTGTCATCAAAAAAGGCAGGTTTTCTTCGGACAAACAAACCTCCGTGACCTTCAGGCGGCGCCGGCGCTGCCGCGCATGCGGGAGTTGAGGCAGAGCAGTTGACCGGTTGAAACTCGAGATGGGGAAAAGTATCAGTGGCCTGAAACCAGAACTTTTTTTGGGGGTTTCCAATAGAATCAATAGAATCTGATCCTTCAAAGGTCCTCCAAGTCATCCCCTTTTTTTTGATTCCCACATGTATGTATATAGTTTTTTTTTCAGGCATGGAAATGCACCTTTTCTGCCTTGCAGGGAGCCCAACCAGTCCACCATCCGATTGCAGGACACCCTGAATAGTGAGGAGAGTGGAGTTTTTGACGCCAAAACCCTTTCGGAAGGACCTAGATTTTTTTTCAGGAGTGAACTGTAAACATAATAAAACAGATCCCTTTTGTTGATTTGTTTAAGTTTTATCACTGGCAAGTAAGTCCCGCTTATTGCAGATCGTTCGTCTCGACTTCACAGCTATGTGAGAGCTGCCCATGCTGTTGTCACAGCAGAAAGCGTAAGATGGTAACACCTCACTGGCTCAGGAGAGAAGGCCTGCGAATGCATCCATGGGTCGGTCGGACGCCTCAGGGTGAACGGTGGATTAAAAGAAAATCTACAGGAAAACATGTTTTTTTTTCTTTTTCTCTCAGTGTCTTGATATAGCAAGTTTGGAGGTGTTATGAGGTGTTGAACTTCTGTTGAAGATTTATTTTTTGTGAAAAAGTCGCTCATCCCCAGAAGTGTTTCTGTTGAAAGGAAACCCCACCAAGAAGGGGAATATGACTGACCAACAATGGGTTTTTCACAATGGAGATGCAAACAACAGTAAGTGGGATAATTATTTGGGAAACAATCATTTGCACTGGGGACATCAGCAACCAACCACGGGGATTAGCGTATCATTGAACGTGGACGTGTATGGCACCACTAAGATTGAACACATCACATGGCAAACACAACCAATCAAAGCAATCAATCAATCAACCAACCAACCAACGAATCAATCAATCAATCAACCAACCAACGTCAACTAACATCAACTAACATCAACTAACATCAACTAACATCAACTAACATCAATCATCTGGAAATAATTTCTCTGTGCAAAAATGAGTTGAAGCCCGGGCCGGGTTCCAAGTTCCAAGATGTTCCACCCGTGGCTTTTTGCCAGACGCATTCATGTGGTGCGACGGCGGCAAGCCAGCGAGGTGATGGGACGGAAATCAGCTCCGCACTGGGAAACTGCCTAAGAAATCCTAAGAATAGTAGGGTTTTCCTGGGAAAATTTGGGGAAATCATCTAGGACTGAGGATTAATCAATGTTTTTTGTACCATGTTGAATTATGGGATGGTAATTGTTGAACCATTGATAAACGGGGAGTGCACCTAATCGAAATAGGGACGTGACTCAAACTGTGTGGTGGTTTCAGGGCTTTATTTTCCATTTCCACATATTTCCACCTAAAATTATGGTTTACACCTGGCTAACTTAAATGATTGAAATTGATGTTGCTTGAAACCACATCCATCCATGTTGATCTCATCTGATTCGGCGAGATTCTCGTTCGGGTCACACTTTTGGGGTAAGCTGTGCACCTTCTGTAAACTGTACTGTATGCATAGAGAAACTGAAGAAGTAGATAGACACGCACACATACACATACACATAATCAATCATAATCATATAAATTTGCACATGCATACGCACTAGGCGCGCACAGAGATGTACGGTAGATTGCTTGTCAAGAGGGGTAACTTAGACCCGCAGCAGGAATCGCCGGAGGAGTCAGTCTTGGAGGCAGCTTGGGGTTCAGACGGGGAGAAATTAAGCGGCAAGATTCATGTCACACAGAAAATTGGAAGAGGACATGCCCCCCCGATTTGTGGTTTAGAATGTTCATCACGAGTCTTGCAATTTCTGGGGACCCCAAATCAACTTCCAGCCTGTGAGAATCACGCAGGACCTGCCAGAGGAGGAATCTCTGGAGGAGGAGGGCCATGTAAGCCAATGGATGGATTTATGAAGGTGGTTGGTGGAAAGAATTGCTGGAAACCACGGGTTTTTCCCATTGGCTTTCCCATGATTTTCCGATCAAAGCATATTTTATCATTATTTTATCATATAAAAATATGGTTTTCCCATGGTTTTCCGTAGGTTTTCTCTCTTGGCCACTGTTGTACTGCAGGGTTGCGAACAAACCTGCTGTGCCTGCTCTATCCTACCTGGGAGGCCCAAGTAGATCATAGGCATAGGAGCCTTACCGTACCTTCACACACTGGTTTCAGGGACGTACACACGCACAGAACTAGGGAGAGGCAGAGAAAGAGATGCATGGCAAACCGTTGGAAGACCCGGAACAAATATATGCATATATATATATATATTATGTATGTATGTATAATACATAGTATGAATATGTATTTGACAGAGAGAGAGGGGGAGACAAAAACCCCCACATGGATTCCTTCTGAAAAGCTGCTGTCAGGAAGCCGCCGGAGACCCGGACTTCGACTTTGAGGAGCGCCGCGCCGTGCACGACGTAACTGGATGGTGAAGTCTTCAACGTAGTGACCCTAGTGTTCAACCCTAGAATATGGATGGTTATTAATGATTATTAATGAATATTATTGATGATGATGATGATGATGATGATGTTAATTGGGCTGAAGCCACGAGCTGGTTGGGTTTGACGCACATTTCGAGGAGGAAAAGGGAATCAGACATTCTGGTCTCCGATCTTGTTGAATGAAACACCTTGAAATTATCTCAAAATGAGAAGTTCCAGATTTCATCGCTATATGGGTTTTGTCTCAAAATGGATCAAGATGGGCTGTGCCCCAAATCAACTGGTTGATTACATATTCGCCATGAAGAATTACCATAAATTGGGACCAAATATCATATCAACTTGGTGATATCTCGCATTATCTTCCATTTCCCCATGATATCCCCACAATATCCTCAGAAAATGCTTGGAACGCGTTTGTTTTCTCATGAAAAATCATAAAATTGGTTCCCGTGGCAAATGTTATTTCGCAGAAAAAAAGTCTCGAGGAGCCCCCAAGGCACGAGATGGAGATCGACAGTGAGGACTTGGGAAGTCCTGCCCCCGATCCAATCCGCAGGCCCATTTTGGATCTGAACATGGAGGACTCCACCCAAAATGTTGGTGGAAAAAGAAGTGCAAAACGCATTGATAGGGGGAGTGAACCACCCAAAACGATCCAGAACAATGAACATATATGAAACTTGGAGGTTTTATTGAAGCAAAAATGGAGATGTAACCCATGAACCAGCCAACATATGGGTTTCAACTTTCAACAACGAACACCGTAAATTTGGCTATAAAGCATGGTAAATATGAATTGATTGTTTGAAGGCTCCAAAGGAGAAGAAGTGCAAGCAACAAAGATTGCATCCCAACTGTGCTATACTTTGTCAAAGCAAATTCTATGTCAAAATTGAAGTTCAAAATGTATAACCTTTGGCGCACGGTTATAGAAAATGTTACCATTAAACTCTCCATTTATGGAGGATTTCCTATTGCCATGTTTGATTTCCGAAGGGTACTTGCCAGCAAATATGTGACTTATAGATAGGTGGATCGAGTCAACAGACAGGACAGAAAAGGACAGGACAGGATAGGATAGATAGATATAATGCAATGCTTTTTATTCGCACATAGAAGATATAGAAGTAGGATATATATATATTATATTTATATTGAATCATATTGACCTACCTTCATTACATACATACATACATACATGCATGCATGCATGCATACATACATACATACATACATACATAAATACATACATAAATACAACGTACGTACGTAACGTACACCACAGACATAATGACTGTAGAAACAGTAAGATCAATATCCATCGATTGCCAGGCACCAGCCTGGAGTCGCCGAACCAAGGCAGGACAACAAGTACTGTATCGGGGGAACATCATGGAGTCTTAACAGCCTATTTTTCAGGCCTATGTAAGGGGATATCCCCACAAAATATGACCAAAAAATACCAAAAATATGGTGCAGTAGCTCCATTTTATTCCATTTTAGGATCCTGAAATTCCCATTGAGAAAAGGAAAACTGGTGGGATGGGATGAAGTACGCTGCACCAGTCGGATACACTAAAGGGCTTGTAAACACACGCTCGTGGTGCAAGATTCAGAAATGCTCAAGAAGACTTTGCCCCAATTCGCGCGCGAGTTACATAGCCATGGTTGTCCCTGTTGGAGGATTGGCCCCAACAGGTACCTTGGGGCCACCCCCCGAGGAGGTTCTGCGCTTGCTGCCCGCCTTGAAAGCAACAGTCGTCGCGTTGACTGTGATGGTCATCGGTGAGTTTATAGCAACATACTACCAAGAGGCTATCTCAGAACTGCTAACGCCACTGCTGGGTCTCATAGCTTTGAGGGATGCATCGCAGACAGGTCAGTGCATCCTGTGCTTAGCGTTGCTTGCAGGTTTCAACTGCATCTCGGACATCACCTCCCTGGTCTTGATCCTGTCCGGAGAGCGGTACATTGCGGGTGCCAAGTATTTCTTTTCCACGGAATGCTCTGGCAAAGTGAGGGTCTATGATCCTACCACCCAGTCCATGAAGGTGGAAGTGCGGGAGTTGTGTAGCTGGCAAACTGTGCTGGGCAACAGTGTCCTGATCTGTGCCCTGATCTTGGAATTCCTCTGCTGCAAATGGAGCATCAAGGCCTTCCGGGCCTACCAAGCCGACAACCTCAACGCCATGGATGCCATGTTGGGCGACGCGGAGCGGATGGATCGGATGGACCGGATGGACCGGATGGGCCCGGGCCCCACTCCGATGGCAGAAGGGGAAGATCGTTCACGGCCCCCTGCCAGTGCTGCCCAGGGATTCGTACCCTTCAGTGGCCAGGGGCAGAGATTGTCTTGAAGGATGCCACGCGCTGTGAAAAAAAGTGAAGGTATCGCCGGTATCGCTTGTGGTGGAAACCTGTGCGAGAATAGTGTGACTCTTTCGTTGTTTGCTCGGAATATTTTTAGTTGCAAGCTTAGGCAGAACTGGTCCTGAATGCTTTAGGCCATTAGTTTCAAATGGCTTGAGTTGTCGTGGCATTGTCATGGCTTGTCATGATCAACCTCAATGAGAGTGGTTCAGACCTGTTCCACAATTGCAGCAGATTTTATCAGCCAAAAGCCACATAAGACAGGACATCTCAACATGTCTTGACCTTTTTTTAATCCTTTTATTCCCCAAGGTGCCAGATTTCTTGCTGGCGAAGGTTCAGAAATCATTGCTGATGAAACAACAGCCGCAAAATGAACAACAGGCTATACCAGGCCACTGCTTTCTTTCCACTCGGATGGCCATGGATGGCGCGCGAAGTGGAATTGACGTCCTGGAATCCGCGGGGGAAAAGCTCCGAGGCGGGGCTTGAAGCATTCGGGGTTGCCTTGTAGTAAACAAACAAAGTGTTTTTTTCCTCTTTAAACTTTTAACCAGCACAAGCTGGAATTTGCTTTGTCAAAGTTAGGGATCCATTGAAACAATCTGCCAAAATTGAACCTTAACAACCAGTGAAACATGGGGATGAAACCAGTCTAATAAGGGATTCAGGCAGAAAAAATGCGCTTTAACCATGATTTAATAGTGTTTAAAACCAACAAGAGAGGGCAAATTTGCCCTCTTGACACGACCAACCTCACCCTCAGAGGTTGAAACAAAAAGAGAGACAACTCTTTTCCTACCAACAGGGAAGTGGTATCAAACTGACACTAGTAATGACATCCATTGACATCCTAACAAAATAGTATTATAAAATATTATAAATAGGATCAAATATATGTGAAAATGCGCACATATTATGAATTGCAATTCTTTTTTTTGTTGCCCCGCCCCCCCCTTCGGAAAAGAAAATAAGGTAGCCTTGCCATTCCACGCGCGACGGGTGGTGGAGAAACTCTTTGAGGCAGGTTTCAGCTGGTGCCAGTGGCAACGCAGAACATGGGGAGAGACTAGAGTTTTTAGATATGGGTATGGGTCAATACCTATAGATACAATTTTTGGTGGGATGAACATCCATTTACCAGCTATTTTGGGGTTCACCAGGGGTACAAGGTTTTGACACACTGCCATATGACGTTAGACATTCAAACGGCCAGATATTATGATCTTTGTTTGATGATGTTTGAGTCTCATTTGAAGGTTTCACCGAAGGTTTCACCGTTTCGCCAGGCCCAAACCAGAAAGTACCAGGGCGAACGCGACCGTTTCCTGACGGGTTAAACTGCGGACAGGGTTCAAAGTGCCCGAGATCTGGAACTGGTTTCCTGCTTGCTTGTGTTCTTTATTTGTCTTATTCGTACTAACTTGCGTTTTGCTCTTGCTTTGTGACATCAGGTTCCAGTTCGAAAATTATGTGGATTGTTGACCACAAGGCGTTTTCTGTGTTTGAACACGATTGAACTGTGCCCCTGTGGTTTCAACGTTTTTGTATGTTTTTGTTGTCTATTGGGCAGGACAGAGGAATTGTTTTGAGGGAAACAAATATATGATACCCTCTGGTAATTTAACATAGCTATTGAAAATGTCCATTTATAGTGGATTTTCCCATTAAAATTTGTGATTTTCCATAGCTATGTTAGTTTACCAGAGGGTAAGTGTTTCCAAACCATGCGCCTGCGCAGAGCTGTTGGCTCTCAGAGTAGCACATTACGCTGCCTCTACTGGATCTGCGCAGGCTGGGTCTGTAAGAGGTTTTCAGGCCAGGTAAGAGCCGAGTGATTGTTCTATTCAAACAGACCGTACCGCCCTGCGCAGGGAATCCCATCCGGGTGGACTCGCAGATGCCGCAGGTCAGGGTTTTGGTTTTTGATTTCTGTGTTTTTTAAAACCTATATCTTATATACGTATAAATACATGCTGGGTGTGGCCCAGATTCAATGTCTCACACATGTTGCACATACGTATGCATACACATGTCCGTCACACATCAAACATACATACAAACTATGATGTGATACAGCGTACGAACACACTTTTGTGCGCTTTGTCTTCAGGGTTGTGGCGTCGGTTGTCCGGCTTCCCGACATGAGGCCGAAGTCCGAATTGTAGCCTCCTGCCCAGACGATCACCACGACCGAGTAATGGACATTTGCAAGGGGTTGGGAATGTTCAAGGCTTTTGGCAAGAAGGGCGATTTCATTGACGCGCTCAAGAGAGGAGATCAGTGGTTCGACCTGTGGAAAGCGAAGGTCTGCCAGACCGTGCTGGTTGCCACTATGCACGCAGAGTGTGGTTCGAATTCTTTGCATTGAAGGCGGCCCTCATTGTGATGAAGAATACAAGACTATTCCAGATCTGAAAAGGGCCGTGAAAGATGATGTGAAGAAACAGAACAACGGCCGAGAGGTGCAGGTGGTATGCGAGTGGATGACAATGGAGCTCTTTGAAACACAGTTCGGCACTTTGGCCAGTCAGTTTGCGATTACGTTCGGGTTTTAGTTTGATGTGGTGCTCTACTTGCGGGTGTCAGTTGTATGTTCCAAGGCTTTATGCCATTTAATTTGCTCAGGTAGCCAAGCGAAGGACAGAAAGGGCCGACGGTGTCGGGTGTTGCCCAAGATGTGTAACTAGTGACCAGAATGTTCCCAGCTGCTGGTGATGCAGGGAATTAGTGGTGATTCCAGGTGTGCGATCTTATGTAGGGATTTGTTTAGGGATGCACCGTTTGTGTCGAACAGGTTTGAGCCTGTTTGAGTAACATGACCCCATGCAAGGATGACATTCCAGCGCAAGTGGCAGCCGACGAAGCCGCGGCTGCGAAACGTCTGGAGCTCAGTCGGTATACTGACTATAGATACGTAGAACTTGATGCTACTTCAGATAGAAGAATAAAAGAAGTAATTTGAAGTTGCACTTCAAGTTCCATAACATGAACATCAGGAACTTAAAAGTTCAATAAGTTCAGTTTCTAACATAAGTTGAATAGAATTTCAAAAAGATTCAAAAAGTAGCAGACTCGTATTAGAGAAGATAAAACATACAGTAAAGATCTAAGTAACTGAGGAACATATTTCTGCTGCATTTCTCCGCGCGCCGAGACGCCAACATCGCTCGGGCGGCGAGCTCCGGCGACCTGGCGGCAGTGCGGGGCCACCTGCGCCGCGACCAACGCTGCGTGGACCAACTCTTCGTGGTCGGGGGGGCGGGCCGCGTGGCGGCGCTGCACCCGGCAGCATTTACCGATCACACGGCGGTTGTCGAATTTCTCCTGGAGAAGGGAGCGGCCGCGCCCTTCTCCAGGAGAAAGTCGACGATCGCCGTGTGGTCGACCATGCTGCCTCCACCCGGGAGCGATGAAGGCCTCGGAGGATATCAAGAACAACGACGGCTGAGGCCACCAGCCGTCGTTGTTCTTAATTTCCACGGAGGCCTTCGCGGCCAGCAGCAGCTTGGCGCTCTCCACGCTGCCGTTCCGCGAAGGCCTCGGTGGACATCAAGAACAACGACGGCTGGGGGCCTCAGCCGATGTCAGAACCGTTTTGAAAACAGATTTTCACCGGCAATCACAATGATAGTTGCAGTTCAATGAATGTGGCATGTCTTAATGACTTATGAAATTTCAGTTTTTTTCAACTTCAATGGGCATGGGATTTCACTGGATTTATCATCTCAGGTTCCCGTCTTCAAAGTTCCCTTGAAATTCAAGAGCCGTGATTTTGGGGCATCTCTCTGTCGCGATCAACGCAGCACATTTTGTTGAAACAGGTAATTTTGGAGTTCATCCATGTCTTTGCAATTTCCAGAGACAATGTGAACAATGTGAACCATGAGACAATGTGAACAATGGGCAGTGCGAACGTTGATCACTTGAAATGAGATGTGATATATTGGAAGGGGTCAGTTCGAATGTCAGCTGTGGTTCCCAGGCAAAACGCCTTTGGAGTATGCCAGAAAGAAGGGACCACACAGAAATCGTAAACTTGATGATGGGCAAAGCCTTTTGGCTTCGCGGGTGGGGCCCAAAGCACTGCAGTGTCACAATGGCATAGTATAGGATATAGTAGGTGGGAATGTATAGTAGGTGGGAATGTCAGCGGATGAAACCTGGTGAAACTGCTGGCACTGGTGGGGATGAAAACATGAAACGGGGCGGGGATAGTGTGAGTCCATACAAGGGATGTTTACACATCCGATTTTGGACACATGAATCATGAAACCCATTGCCACATCATCATCGCAAGCCACTGGCCAACAACTGAGCACCGATCAACCACGAATCTGATTAGATCAGCAGAATTGACCCGGGACCCAACATGGAATTCTTTCGGTTGAGACGCCGTGCCACCCATTCAATTTCTATGGCCTTCAAGAACAAATCAGATTATTAGATTACGCACGGACAGAACAGGTATGTTGTTATGCGTTTGACTATCTTCAGCAAAACATGACATATATGACATAGCCTAAAGAACACCGATAACACAGGAGTAGGCATTTGTTCCCTAGTATGTTGTTCTACCCAGATCATATCGATTCTAGGGGTTGAATAATTTTGAGTCCCAGATGTTGTTTGCATCTTTGCTCCGCCCAAGGCATGAAATATCAGGCCTGGCACCGGGAACAGCTCTGTGGTGTCTCATGTGCCTGTCAATTTGGGCTGATAATTACGATTAATGAAGCAGTGGAACCATCATCAAGAAAGGTCAGGGGAATGATAAGCATGACTATGGGGCTGCCAAGCAGGTCTCAGGGAGCTTTGTTTCATTGTTCATTAGCAAACATGGGACACTTGATGAACATTCAAAAACCGCAGCTGTAAATGCTGGGCTTATCACAACATGCTGGGCACCTTTTAATCAGTTGTCCTTGTCAGCAAGATCTCCCCAGTGCAAGTCTCCATCCAGATACCTGTGCAACAAGCACCCTTGCGAGTTGTCTTCGTGCAAGAAATACTGGACATGTCTGCGAGTGTCTGACAGCATGTGATTTTGGGGAACACATCTCCAGTCACCTGCTTCGCCTCTCATTTTTGCAGGTTCGCTATGGTGATTTCAACATATTTCAACTTTCGGGCCAAAGGTGCCTTTGGAGACTTTGGAGTGCATCCTATTGTATGAAGATGTGCCACCCAACACCATGGGGTCCAGAGGGTATGGATCAAACTTGGGTCCCCCCAAAGTTGGGCAGCATTAGATGTGAATCCTGAAACCAAAAATTATATTCCCAGAATGATGAACATCTGTGGTTGCATGTGGCTTCTCTTTCTACCAGTTTGGGACCCAGATTGAGCTTGGCAAGTAGTTGGAATCTCTGCTGTGCAGCCATTGGTTGTATAGCCTCACACCACTCATTTCATTCTGTGGTGGATTTATTGTGATCAATGCCACATGGCTGTCTTTCAATGTGATGACATGGTGAGCAAATGTCGTGCAATGACTTCAAGGCAAGGTCCAAGCTATAGATCTTAGGTAACAACTCACCCATTTGTGCTTTCAATGCAAGAAGAAAAGACCTGCTCCGCCCCTGCCCCGGAAATAAATATTCTTCAGGTAATCTTGGAATGCTCCCACGGCTGTCGGGCGATGCAATCATAATCGCATGCAAGATGTATCGGTTCTTGTTTTGATTCAAAGTGTGTTGGGTGTATTAGCTGCGGTCAAGTTTCACCTGGGATGAAATTGCATTTGAACATGTGCAATATGCAATCGATGCCACTGGTTTCAGGTTCAAAGCAACATCACCAAATGTACGCATAAATTTGCATAAATTTGCAGCGTTTGATGCAGAATCTGGAATTCCAAACACGTGGAGGTCGCATTTCGCAAGAAACAACTGGCTATGTTTTTTACTGTAAATCCTTTTTCAAGATAGAAGCAGGAACAACGAGTGCTGAGTATGCCAGAGAATCGCAAGAGGGTGTTGAAGGAAATCGGAAGATGGAAATCAGCTATGGGATAGTTAACCCAGAAAGTACCACTTACCCATTTTACCTCTGCGCTACTTGTGGGTTGTCACTCCTATTTGCAGGGAAAAATGGATGATTTGAAAATATTTGAAGCACCCATATTATTTTGCCTTATGTGTTGAAGTTGCTCCGACTGATGCAACAACCATGCTTGCTGCGCCACGCCAAGGATCGCGTGCCGCGCTTCTTGCCCAACGTTCTCACGACTTTTGCAGCGGCGACCACGCCTCGGCTGCAAGGGTGGCCTGGCGCCGTGGTGATCGCCACTATGCCGAAAGTGCTTCGGAGGGCAGGGCAAAGATCCCATGTTCGGCCTCATTGGATGCGCAGAACACGGAGAAAACCAGGGTCAGAGCAGGAGTTCTTGGATGCGCAGGCAAAGATACCGATTGAAACGGGTTGGAGGGTTCAACCACTTTTTCTTTTTCAAACCAATTTGGGGATAACTAATTTTGATAATGATCCGAAATTTACCATAAGTAGCTCATAATTTTTAGGGCTGGCTTACTGATGGTCACTTTGAGCCTCCAGATGTTCTTTTTGTTCGGGGTGCAATTGAAAGTTATGAGCTTCTTATGTAAATCAAAGGTTTTCCTATTATTTTTGTGTGGCACTGTCCGGTTTCGAAGTACTTTAGTTGATTTTCTTCCTTTTTGAACAACTGTCTTGAGTTCACAGGGTTTCTCCGACATGGCGTGCTGCTCTTACGATCTCGGCGCTCAGGTTTGCAAAGAGGTAAAGGAGCCAAGAGCTTCGCAAGATGGAACAAGCAGGAGACATCTGGGATCATCTGCTGGGCGATTCCATTCGTGCGTTTACAGACCCGCTGTGTAAGCCCAGGAGCTGTACCTCAACGAGGAAAGTCGTGAACGTGCCAAAGCTGCCAGTGGGGGGCCTCAAAGAAACTGCAGTACAAATCCTCACAGAGTTCGAGTGGAAACAAACTTGGAAAATCAGAAACCAGGGCCGAAGATAAAGACTCTAATGTTATAATTATATACGTTTATATATATATAATTAATATTATATAATTACATATATTATACATATACTGTAACGCACATGTTTTTAGTTCATATAGAATGTTCACATTTGCACACACACACACACGCACACACATATATATATATATTGTGTGTGTGTGTTGATGTGTGTTGTAGCTAGGTTTTGACGTACTATTATGTAATTCCTGGAATGTGTATGTTTGTTTGTTCACCTGAGTTCCCCCTTTTTTTAAAGCATCGTCGAGGGGCATTATTCCCTGGACGCGAGATCAGGTGTGTTTGCACTTGGCCTTGTTGACATTACATGAGGCATTTCAAAATCTAAGACCATGGGTTGCGACTGCAGGCTATACACATGTTAATGCACAATTAATTCTGACATGATTTTGATAAGCATTTACTTGTATATACTTAGATTATGTAATGTTGCTTACTGTGGCCTATGTGCCTGATGTACATACATTTCCTGTACATCACATACACATTGGACTGGAAGTGTGCACATGACCCAGTTTCCTGTGGGCAAAATGTGAATGTGGTTAACGATGTGGTGCAAAATTCCCCCCCAACAGCCAGGGCAATATGTGTTCATTTGACGCTTCTCAGATGCACATTAAAAATCCCCATTCTGCATGATATCATATGATATCTATCCTGGAACCATATCTATCCCCAAATGATATGCTGAGACTTCTTCAACCACCAGTTTTTCATGTTGCCTCGAACCACAGAATTCCAACCAGTTGATTTCCAAGAGTCCCCGTGGTCAGACGTAGTAAGCTCATGGGGATAAATAGTTTCCGTTGGGTTTGCCACATGAGCCATCAGCCAATCATCAAACCAGCATCAACTGAAATTGGAGCCATAAATTCCACATAATTCAACGTTAGCCGTTAGCTCCATGTTTCATGATTAACTTATCAACTCCCCATTTTGCATTCGGAGATCTCAATGTTCGGTTGAATACACCAGTTTTTCTTGGAATCCACCAAGTGTATCCATTTGTTCTGTTAAACCATGTTAAACCCAGCATTTTTGTTGCATCATCTTAAATCATCGATAACTTAAATCACCATTTTTGTTGGTAAAACCCAAGAATTTTGTGGTTAAATCCAGCATTTCACATATTTCACGGTTTCAAACGTCGCCAGTTCCTCTCAAAAAGCCACCCGTTGTGGTTGGACGTTTCGGCCAGGTCAACAGCACCTGCAGCGCCATCCGGAGCTGTGGCGTTTGAGCTCCAACGAATTGCTGCTGGGTAGCTGGTGGTATGCCATGGGAGTCATCTGACATATGATTTTATGTATGTATATATATATATATACATGTGTATATATACATGGGATATGTATACATATATATATGGGATATATATACATATATACATATATATGTGTGTATCTGGGTCAATGAATAATTATAACGACCTCACTGCGACCGAGCCCTGGAATCATGGTTAGTAAGGGAAATCATCCCCAAATGGCCTTAATCCAGGTCAGTGAAATATTATAATTTACCCACATATATATATATATGGGATATACATTCAGTAAGCTGGGAGGAATTCATGGGATATATATATATATATACGGATATATGTGGGATATATACATTAATAGGGTTAAGGTTTGATGATTCCATGGTTTCTGAGTTGATATTAGAATGTCACAAGTACTTGGGGAAATATGGGAATATATGGTATATTATATGGATATGCAATACTTAGATATAAAACTGAAGGCCTAAAGTTTGATTGTTCCGAAGTTGATATTGCAGATACGTAGGGATACATAGGATATATCTTATATATATATATATATCTTATATATACACATACATATACCCGGAGACAATGTCGTGGTAGCTTGTCATGTACCCGTACCTGGAGTTGATTTTTACGAAGACATTGCCGTATAAATTTCCACGGCATCGGACTGGTGAGTATCCCAATGGGTCCCAATGTTTTAAACCAATGTTCATTGGCGTGCATCAGTTGAAACCGGAAACCTTGCCGAATCTTTTTCAAGAGCCTGTCAAATCTCCTTTAATCCCAAAGCACTGCGCCTTTTTTCCGAAGATTGGCATTGAAGGGGAGCGTCCTAGCGTCCAAAAGGCGTCTTTTCGCATCCAAAACGGACGCATCCGGACACTTTCTAATCCTGCGCCTTTTTTTCCCAAAAGATGTGTTTGGAGTGTTTCGAGGGGCATCATCATCCAATCCATCCTTTTTCAACCCATTTCGGATGTTGAGAGTCCTTGGAAGTGATGGCCACGAATCATTTCAAATGGATTGGAAACGCCACCATGGTTTGTAACCCCGAGGGCCTTTTCTTTCACGCACCGGTGCTACCAATGTCTTTGCACGGATTGATATGATTGCATCTATTGCGCAGGGTTATCGGGCAAGACACTAAATGATAGCGTGGTTGGAATGTACCTGCACCTTTTTCAAGTTCCTGCGCCTTTTTTATTCTAAAAAGATCTAAAAAGGCTAAAACTTGAATGCAAAAAAGAAAAGGCGCATAAAAAAGGTGAAGGGAGACTCAAGGTATACGCATATTTATCGTACAAAAACATCATGTTGATATGAATCGATATCTATCGTCCAGTAATGGAGGAGCTGTTCGGAGCTGTTCGGGATCAGTGTCACTTATTAGTTGGGGATTACTATTTGGAGATCAAAATTTGTCGCTGATCATGGCGAATAAATATGAGACTGGCTGGTGAAGTCTATGGTTTATGGTCGAGATATCAGATCATATCTATATATATTTGGAAGTAATCTTCATGGGGTTTGAAGATGTTTGAAGAGCAACTTAACTTACAACTGCGGGCCCGACCTTGTATGTATATATATATATATATATATTTGTTGGTTCATCCTATTTAGTAAGTGGTTGGCTCACCCCGGTTCTAAGTGGACTGATCCCTGATTATGTATCCCATGTGGTGAAGTGAAGGGTAGTCTTGGGTCTTGGGCATACCCCGGTTTGTCAGAAACTCCCGTAAACATGGTTGCAAGACACGGTATGAACACCCCAAGAACGAGGCAGGCCCAGTAGGCATTTAATGCGTAGTATTTACCTATTAACAAGCAAATGCAGCGTTGGAGAACGAGGTCAGGCCTTCAAAAACGGTACGGGAATGGAGATTGAGGTAGGAACACTCAGCGGAGTATAGGTGATGCGACAATTTTTTTCCGCGGCTCATAATGGATGCTCATGGTATATTATTCAAATATGTCTACCATTGTCTACCCGTAGAATATAACATAACTTTACTATACATTACCATTATTATTGTTTTGTGCTTTGTGATTAGTAGTGTGTTTGAGTCTGCGAGTCTGCGATTCTGACCAAGGCTCGAGATCGTTGCCCTTCAGTCGCTTGCTTGGATTGATTCCCCGTCCAAGTGAGACTGGTCATGACTGTCATCCCAAAAAGACTGGCGGTGGTTTTTTCTTGCGGTCCTTGTGTTGGAAGGTCCTTTTTTGTCCTTGTTTTATGATGAATATATGGATTATGGGACGATGGTGATTTGTTGGAGTTGCCTGGGCATCCCATAGGCCCATAGGATCCCATGTTTCAAGGGAAACAACCTTGGGATTCAACCAGCCTGGCTGGCAGCCAATGGTGACCCCGAGATAATAGATGATTAAGATGCGCCCTGACAATAAAGCCCTCATAAAAAACGTGGTTGTTGGTCCATAAATACATATATAAATGGATTATAAATGGCAGTTCCCTAGCATTTTTCAATTTGAAATCAGGTCGATCATCTCCTCCCGAGGCACCTTCTTTGGATCGACTTGGAAGATCTATCGCTGCCAGCGGATGAACGTCGTAGTGAAGATGCCTTCACAGGCACCTTGAATAATTACCCTCTGGTTATGACTAACATAGCCATGGTATAGATGGCCTATTTATAGATGGTTTACCTATTATAAATGGGTGGATCTTTCCATGGCTATGTTAAATAACCAGATGGTAGCTCCATCGCCCCAGCAAACTTCCATGGCTAGTTTGGGGACTTGCCATAACTTTCCATGTTTGATTGCCGAAAGATCTATTGAATCTATTGAATCTATGGCTGGTAAAAAAAACACACACCATCCAATAGATAATAGATGATAATAGCGTTTCTTTATAGACAATAAATACTTCAACCAACCTTGGACCAATATAGAATGCTCACCTTCGGGGATGAAATTATGGGAATCATATAAATTTTCCATATGGTGGGGAGATGCCATTCTCAACTCGTTATTGCTGGGACAATGATGTGTCCCATGGAAAATCTCCATTTGGAAGTGATTTTCCATGGACTTTCCCATGTTGCTGGTCGTATCTGGTCGTTATTCCCACATTTTCCTCAGCAGTGATGTTTTGCATTGTTTTGCTATGTTTTGCTCATGTTTCTCACATTGGTTAGTAAAAATCATTATTTAACTATAGATACATCATGATACATCTATAAGACCTCATATGTTCATATACCCTCTGGTAGTTTAACACAACTATGGAAAATCACCATTTTTCATGGGAAAATTCACTATAGATGGTGATTTTCAATAGCAAACTATTAAATTACCAGAGGGTATTTTCTCCAGCTGTGACGTTTGAAACAGGTGAAGACGCTGCTGTCTGTGAGCAACTGTTGCTGGACGCCCCGCGGGAGCTCTTTGTCATCGCAGCTTGGCCCAGGTTGGCCCGGGCCCAGGAGGCTCAGGCGAGTGCCGATATCTTGGCCACCAGGATGACTGTGATTTAATATGATAACTAAGCCCACTAAGCCAGTATGATAATATGATATGAATATGATATAATATAACATAATATAACATAACATAATATAATGTAACATAACACAATATAAGATAGTATAATATAACATAATATAATATAATATAACCAAACAAAATATAATTTAATATAATATACTAATATATTATAATATATAATGTAATATAATATACTATACTATATTATACTATATTATACTTAATATACGCATATATAATACAAGATCATATGATATAATATAGTTGCACAGATATATTGTAGGTGTGCCAATCTTGGCAAACTCCGTGCCTCAGTTTCGCAGCTCCTGTCATCTGATTTTCCTGAAAAATCTCCGGCAGATTTCGGCAGCCTTTGCTGGACTCATTCCACTTGACTTTGGCATTGCTAAGCTCGGAGCGAAAGTGGTTGAGTTTTTTGGCCAAAACATGGTTTTATAGCTGTATAGCCCCAAATTATGGCAATTTTGATACAGGAAATTATGATGAACCAGTTGATTTGGACAACCAACTGCCGCAACTGAGGACGGTGTAGAGTTCCACTTTGCGCGTGAAGCCCCTGAAATGCACGGAGCACATTTGGATGGCGCGACCGTGGGCCTTCATGTGGTGTTTAGGATGATCGGGATATATTTATAAAGCGTTTTTTATATGTATATTATATATATAATATATATATATTATATATATGTATTTATTAAATATAATACACAAATGAATAAATATCTTATATATTTATATTAATAGATATTGCCTTGCGTTTTTGTTACGATGCACAGCCAAGTGCTTCCTATTTGCCGCGCTGTGGAGCTTTGAAGGCAACGACCTGGAAATTCTAAAGCGGCAGTTCGGAGCCCCTTGGCAGGGAGTCAAGGTGGAGAGCGGGGTTCACAGCCGCTGCCGCTGCCCTCCCAAAATCAACCAGTATAACCAGTTGAGAAGTGGATTCATGTTGATAAAAAAGTGATACATCCTTTTCCCCGCTTATTTAGTAATTATATAATAGGGTTAGACACGGTGACCACAGAAATGGGAGACGTTGGGAGACCCATTTCTGTTGAGAAGTCATGGACTCTCCAGTGGTGCCCCCGGTGCCCGGTGCCTTCAGGATAGGGTGGTCGCTGCCATTCGCGCGGCCATCTCCAGTGGAGCCAGGGCATCAGTGCTGCTGATGAGGGCTGCGACTGGGCCACGGGATTAATGGAATATTCAATGGATTGGTTTAAGGGAAAATTTACAGGAAAGCCCCATATTTAATGGGAAAATCTATGGTTTCCTGTAGATTTTCCCTTAAACCAATCCATTGAAATATGATATGATTTGGTTTAATTTAATGCTGTCGATATAACCCAATTTTCTAATCTCAAGAATTCAGATTAACAAAAACAACCGAGCCACGAGGAGATTCCCACCAGAGTAACGGTTGCATGCTTTTTAGGCAGGACTAGCAGGAAGAACCTTGGCGAACACAATCGGCCCAAATATTTATTGCTGGGTGTTGGCGTTGGAGAACATTTGAACCACTCCCTGACAGTTTGGATGACTCAAATCAACCTTATCCATTTTGATGTTCATGATCTATTTTCTTCCAACATTTTTATCGAAATATACGGCCAAAGAAATGGCGCACACAAATTAACGTGGCATTTTTGAGACGCGAGATGTTTGCCACAGTTTTCCCACAATTCAGTTTTCAGGCCAAAAAAAGGACAATATTTCCCAAACAAAATCTTGAATTACCAACAGTCCCAATTGATTTGGCATATTTTCGCTGAACTTAGTTTTCATCAGGCCCTAGGCGATGCAAATTGGGATTTCCTACTATTGGAGACTCAAAAAACAACGCTCAAAATGTGTCGCAATTCTACCATCGTCGATCCATTTATGCGGCAGCTACAATGTTTACCTGTACATTTATGTTTTACGTGGGTTACAGATACATTTATATACCATCCGCCCTACTAATATGATCTAATATGACGATCGGAGAATCACCATTTTTTTGGGGAAAGACTTGTCTTCTCACCCCTGACTCATGGCAGGGTTGTCTGAGTCTGATGGTTAGTAACGGTTAGTAAGCCCCAAAAATTGGACAATTCTTGGTGCTGAAGATTTGTGCAAAAATGCTAAACAAACTCGGGAGAGTTCTGAGGTCAACTTTGCATGGTCGAATGGATTATCCCCAGGGCCCCATTCATGGTTTATCAATAAGTAGGTGTTAAGGCACAACTTAATCTAAGCGGATTGAACAAATCTCGGTAAGTGATGTAAGTGGATAACTGTTTTTATCAAAGCATCAACTTTTTAAGTGGGTTAAAAACCACTTAGATCCATTTAGATCCGCTGGTGCAGTTGAGGTTACACATGGCTTAAACCATTATTGTTAAGCCCTCATAAGTGGGGGTCTCCCTATCACCCCTATCACTATGGTTATATTAATCCACTTGTTTATTTTCCCGTGAAACCTCCAACTATAGTTTTTTTGAACAAACATGAGCAAACATATTTTAGAAAGGCATATAGACTATCTGGTTGGTGGTGACTGGAACATTTTTTAAATTCCATTCAGTTGGGAATAATAATCCCAACTGACGAGCATATTTTTCAGAGGGGTTGAAACCACCAACCAGCTATATATATATATATATAGATCCATATAGGTTTAAAAAAAAACCACGGTATTTCTGAAACTGGACGTTGTCGCCAAGGTGACCAGTGCCTTGTCGCAGTCCGGGTTGGCCCATTTGGAACAGGCCTGCGCGGCCTTGCAGCTGGCAGCCCCTCGGCCGTTGATGTATATACCAAATGGTAATTCAACCAATGGTATATACATTATGAATATATTAACCTATGGTATATATTGGTATATACATTATAACTATGATGTTTAATGATGAATTCAACCATTGTTTTCATAGTACGATGGGAATTTTATTGGTGACTCTATAAATGGTTTAAGTTATATGTTTCGACATGATTTGACTTGGGTGATATACCAATCTTGGTGAATATATTTATTGGTGAATATGTTCTAAGTGGTTTCTATGATTCATGGTTATTTGTAAAAGTGGTGGGATGAATTTGTAATAGTATGATTGGTGGTTTGCCATGAGTCGAGTCGTGAGATTGTCGAAAGTTGAAGTGTGTCGATTGTTGGTGGTTGCATTGAGGCTGTTTGCCATTGATATTCCAAGAAGCGGTGGTTGCATGAATCGTTATCCTGTTGACATTCTCTCGGGCGTTTGTGTAGTTTTGGTGACGCTGTTCCTTTATGACAAAACCTTGGTTCACCGTGAGGGATCAGCATGGCCAATCTTGGATGCCCTGCACAAAGGCATATAGTTTTTGATACTTGTAGTTGGTTGGTGTAGATGATGTATATCAAACTAGTACAATCCGTCACCAGTTGGCTTACCACCATGTTTTGACAATTGTTGAGCAGTTGACTCCCCACATTTTGCTGGTTAAACAGTCAACCTCCACCAACAAAATAGGCATTGGTTTACAACAGGTATATTGAATAGTTCATAGATAATCCTGTCAGTTAGACAGGTATTATAATGTGATTCAAACAATCCCCTGCTTATCACCATAAGTACCCTCTGGTAATTTAACATAGCTATGGAAAATCACAATTTTTAATGGGAAAATCATCTATAAATGGCCATTTTCAATAGCTATGTTAGTTTACCAGAGGGTAAGTGATTCACGCATCATCCCATATCACGGTAGGTAAGTTTATGGCATTGGGGATAGTATACCACGTTGGATTATCCCAATAATTAATAGCCCATTGATTCGGTTAATTTACACGATACTTGGGGTATATTGGGATAATCATGGATAATCAATGGTGTATATATTTACATGATAATCAAAGGTCAATGCTTATAAATGGAGTATTGAGGAACGGATTACCAATAGTTTGGTTCCTCTAAAAAAAACCCAATTAAAGTGTATCAATAGTTGGATTATCCATTACCCTCTGGTAAATTAACTTGTTGACCCTGAAAATCACCAATTTTTAATGGAAACTAGTCCCAACCCCTATCCTGGAGGGTATATGTTGCTTGTTATATCCCATATCCCCAAGAACCTTGGAATATTTCAAGCCCATCCTGGATGGTCGAGTCCGACCTCGAGGTCAGCGGTGGCGAGCAAGAGGTGAGGTTTGAACTGCGCAGCTCGGCGAAGAATTGAGATATTTCACCAGGATTTGAGGAGATGTTTGGAAAATCACCTGGTAAACTAACAGTTTGCAAACTGGAAAATGGCCATAGAAATAGTGGATTTACCCATGAAACATGGCCATTTTCCATAGCAAACTGTTAGTTTACCAGAGGGTATTTTATGGGATCCGTTTTTTTGATGATTTGATGGGATATTGATGGACATTTTATGGGACGGCGATGTAAGCAATAATTTGCTGAAGGTATTTTCAGCAGTGGGATGATTATAAGGGGAATATCGCAGGAAAACATGGGCGTGTCCTGAAATACTGGGGATTTTTTGCCATGCCACAAAAATGGGATACAAAAAAGGGCAAATCATAGGAGACTCTGGGTTTTTTCCCCCCCATGGCATGCAAAAAAAGTGGCCATGTGAAACTGGGAAAATGAAACGCCAGGGATGTAGACGTTTTCCCTTGATTTTCAGACGTTTTCCAGGAATGGTGAGGAGAATGGGCATCCTCATGGTGAGACTTTTTTTCAGCCCACAAGAAGACGTCCCAACAAGCAAAGTTTTATCAGGATTTTCAAGAAACTGATGAGTTTTTGGTGGTTTCAAAATGTTTCAAAAAACCAGAAACTCCAGAAAAATCTTCCATCATTGTCCCTTCCTGGACGATGAAACCAGGTCCATGTGCTCCTGGTGGCCCGTGGGAGCTGGAACTCTTTGTGCGGAAGGTGGGGCCCCTTTTCATGGTGAGTTCTCACCATGGGAAAAAACGAAAAAAAGTGTAAGCTTTTAAGTATTCAAATCTGGACCTTGAAAATGCCTACAAAAAAAATATATATATATATAAATATCAACACATACAGCACAAATAAACAAGCAAATAGATAAGTATACACTACACACGCATATATATATTTACATATGCACACACACACATATATATATATACACACTATTTTTCTATACTACTATACAATATACACACGCATATTCACAAACGGAGTTTATACCAATAATGATTTTGTTTATGGAAAATCTCATCTCCAAGTCGATCACAGGGCGAATGACATGTGCTAGGCCAACTTCCAGCAGTGCATCATCTACTCCAGCGGTGGCAATGATGTGCCGGAGGCTGGCTATGAAGACCTTCATAACTGTCCATCAAAAATGTGATACAGAATGACATATTACATACATACATGCGTGCACGCACACACGCACGGATGCATATGTATATAAGTAATTATACATTTATAATTATAGTTACTTATGCATATATATATATATATATATTATATTATATTATATTATATTATATTATATTATATTATATTATATTATATTATATTATATTATATATATATATACATATTCTATATCCTATATTATATATATGTTGGGTGTGACAGGGCTTGGTCATCATCTTTGCAACTTTTTTTTTACGGATTTCGATGCCAGGATTCGAGCCCCAGGGCCTGCAGCCCATCGTCCTTCTTCCTGAAGTCTTGCCGCAGCTGGAGCTGGGAGATGGGCACGGACAGGAGCTGACCATCTAGGGATGGATAGGGATGGAATATTCAATGGATTGGTTTAGGGGAAAATTTTAACCGGAAAACCCAATATTTAATGGTAAAAACCATGGTTTCCTGTAAATTTTCCCTTAAACCAATCCAATGAATCATAGAATTGGATGGGAAAATTGAAACCGGAAACCCATGGACACCCCAAAAAATTGACCCCCCCATGATTTTGATGGAAAATTTCCCGAAAAAACCAATCCAATGTAACTTGTGAAGCCAAATCACTGATGTTTCGAATGTTTTTTTCTTCAGATATTTGCATTCCTGTAAAATCTGGAAACCTAAGTTCCTTGAAACCCGTAACCAGGACTGTTTGGATCTGTTTGGTATGGAAACCAAGTTGACTTTCAACATCATGGTTGGTGATTTTGCGATTGCTTAGGGCATCTTGTGTGGGTCCAATTGGGAGTTATGGGCCGTCATGGGGGACATAGAATCAGCTTCTGTTTTTTTTTGCCCAAAACAAAGCTGCAGTTTTCATCACTTAACTTTCTAGATCATCAAGTTTTGGACATCTTTCTTGGCTGCGGACAGCAGTGACGACCAGCAGTCCCACGCGTTTTTGCCAAGTGTCCGCCGCGTGCTGAGGTATTCGTTATTCGGCGTCTTGACTTGCATGGTACATCATGGTTAAAACATATTGCATTTTATGGCTACTTCATCACGGGGAAAATAAGGGAAGATTATTTGAGAGATTCTTTGGTGGCTTGGAAAGCCGACGGAGCAGATTATGGATTTCGTCTAGCTGCCAGGAAATAGGTTCTGATCATGTCATGTTCATTTTTGAGCAAGTAGCAGTGATGTTTGGCAGGTCGTAGAGACACTTGGTCCATACATGTGATCGCACTGATAGGTGTAACAGTAGACAATAATTAGTAGAGATAATAACACAATCTAGAGACAATTAGAGACATATACTGTAATTATCCCAAATCATCCATGTCAGGATTGGATTTTCCCCTACAAACCATCCATTTTGGGTAATTACCCAGCTTTAGGAAACCATCCCATAAGTGTATGATTGGACTAGGTAGTCATGTAGACAGTACTTCTCCACGCGCCTGAGGTGACGGAAGATGGTGCTGTCCAGCTTGTTGCTTGCTTAGTTGGGGGGATTGTTCCACGCCGATGCGCCGAAATGATAATATATGGTCAGATGCTTGAAAATCGCTGTGTATATAATATAACACACACACATATATATATATGTTTGAAAAAATTGGAAACAACTTGGAGATTCTGAAGCTGGTGAAGATTTCTTTGGTGTATCACTTTCTATCACTTTGGGATTCAAAATTCAGCCAGCCCGTTCTCGCACAAGACATTGGGGTCGTCATGCCCAGGATGTGTTGGGCATCCAGCAGGAACACCAGTTGGTAGATGTGAACGGTGAGCCTTTGCTGCGACGAGGCACATGCTTAGATGCTTGGCTTGTTTCAGCTGTGAAGGGCGGGCTGGGCTGTGAAAATCTGGTCGAGTCAATCCAAAAAAAAAAACATCTGCTGAGTCCAAGCCCATTTTTCGGAGGGGAAACCTCCCAACTTTGTGAAATCAACATATCTGACATATCTCTTTAATTTCTTTAACCAAAAACATCAAGAAATCTCAGCCTAATTTAAGGGCTGCCGCCCCTGCCGCCGACCCCGGAATCAACGACTAGGGAAGGTGGGTTTTGCATCTGTAGTATTTGTTTAAATATCAACGTTCAAATCGCGGCACACCAAAAATCAGCGCAAACCTGGTGAACTTGGTGTAGACCGTGTTGTTCTGTAAAACGCAGGGTTGGTTTGGGGGCATGGTAAAACCCAGGTTTTGGTGTCAGATTATTGGAGACATCTTCAAAATAAGCTTCAAAATGGTAATGTAAATGCTGCACCAAGACCCCGCTATTTGGAAACCCGTCCATGCCGTTCGGCTTGTCATTTTCGTGGGCCGTGGCCGCATGCAAATGTGTGGCAACATGTCGTGACCTCGGGAGTTATGGGAGGGCCCTGCTGCATTTGGCCACCTCTGGCAGGGGTGGTAGGCATAGCATGTGAAAAATGGTGGTGCTGCTGCTGCTCCTGCTACTCTTCTGAAACCTATAGAAAAAATGATTGTAGCTACCTTTTCCTCCTGTTTCCTGCTGCTGCTGCTCCTGCTCCTGCTACTCCGGTGGCAGGCTGCGACGCCTAGAATCGAACCACTCTCAGCAGCAAATCCCCATGGCAGTAAAGGACGGAAAAGCATCAAAATTGCGCCCAAAAACTGCCTAATGTAACTTCTGAAACCCATAAAAAAAGATGATTTTAGCTACTTTTTCCTCCTGTTTCCTCCTGCTGCTGCTGCTGCTCCTGCTACTGTTCTGAAACCTATAGAAAAAAATGATTGTAGCTACCTTTTCCTCCTGTTTCCTGCTGCTGCTGCTGCTGCTGCTGCTGCTCCTGCTCCTGCTACTCCGGTGGCAGGCTGCGACGCCTAGAATCGAACCACTCCCAGCAGCAAATCCCCATGGCAGTGAAGGACGGAAAAGCATCAAAATTGCGACCAAAAACTGCCTAATGTAACTTCTGAAACCAATAAAAAAATCATTTTAGCTACTTTTTCATCCTGTTTCCTCCTGCTGCTGCTGCTGCTGCTCCTGCTGCAGCTACTCGTCTGAAACCTATAGAAAAAAATGATTGTAGCTACCTTTTCCTCCTGTTTCTGCTGCTGCTGCTGCTCCTGCTCCTGCTACTCCGGTGGCAGGCTGCGACGCCTAAAATCGAACCACTCCCAGCAGCAAATCCCCATGGCAGTGAAGGACGGAAAAGCATCAAAATTGCGCCCGCAGCAAATCCCCATGGCAGTGAAGGACGGAAAAGCATCAAAATTGCGCCCAGAAACTGCCTAGTGTAACTTCTGAAACCCATAGAAAAAGATGATTTTAGCTACTTTTTCCTCCTGTTTCCTCCTGCTGCTGCTGCTCCTGCTCCTGCTACTCTTGTGAAACTTATAGAAAAAAAATGATTGTAGCTACCTTTTCCTCCTGTTTCCTGCTGCTGCTGCTGCTGCTTCTTCTCCTGCTCCTGCTCCTGCTACTCCGGTGGCAGGCTGCGACGCCTAAAATCGAACCACTCCCAGCAGCAAATCCCCATGGCAGTGAAGGACGGAAAAGCATCAAAATTGCGCCCAAAAACTGCCTAATGTAACTTCTGAAACCCATAGAAAAAGATGATTTTAGATACTTTTCCTCCTGTTTCCTCCTGCTGCTACTGCTGCTGCTCCTGCTGCAGCTACTCGTCTGAAACCTATAGAAAAAATGATTGTAGCTACCTTTTCCTCCTGTTTCTTGCTGCTGCTGCTGCTGCTCCTGCTCCTGCTACTCCGGTGGCAGGCTGCGACGCCTAAAATCGAACCACTCCCAGCAGCAAATCCCCATGGCAGTGAAGGACGGAAAAGCATCAAAATTGCGCCCAAAAACTGCCTAATGTAATTTCTGAAACCCATAGAAAAAAATCATTTTAGCTACTTTTTCCTCCTGTTTCCTCCTGCTGCTGCTGCTCCTGCTCCTGCTACTCCGGTGGCAGGCTGCGACGCCTAAAACCGAACCACTCCCACCAGCAAATCCCCATGGCAGTGAAGGACGGAAAAGCATCAAAATTGCGCCCAAAAACTGCCTAATGTAACTTCTGAAACCCATAGAAAAAGATGATTTTAGCTACTTTTTCCTCCTGTTTCCTCCTGCTGCTGCTGCTCCTGCTCCTGCTACCCTTCTGAAACCTATAGAAAAAAATGATTGTAGCTACCTTTTCCTCCCGTTTCCTGCTGCTGCTGCTGCTTCTCCTGCTCCTGCTACTCCGGTGGCAGGCTGCGACGCCAAAAATCGAACCACTCCCAGCAGCAAATCCCCATGGCAGTGAAGGACAGAAAAGCATCAAAATTGCGCCCAAAAACTGCCTAATGTAACTTCTGAAACCCATAAAAAAAGATGATTTTAGCTACTTTTTCCTCCTGTTTCCTCCTGCTGCTGCTGCTGCAGCTACTTGTCTGAAACCTATAAAAAAATGATTGTAGCTACCTTTTCCTCCTGTTTCCTGCTGCTGCTGCTGCTGCTCCTGCTCCTGCTCCTGCTACTCCGGTGCCAGGCTGCGACGCCTAAAATCGAACCACTCCCAGCAGCAAATCCCCATGGCAGTGAAGGACGGAAAAGCATCAAAATTGCGCCCAAAAACTGCCTAATGTAACTTCTGAAACCCATAGAAAAAGATGATTTTAGCTACCTTTTCCTCCTGTTTCCGCCTGTTTCCTCCTGCTGCTGCTGCTGCTCCTGCTCCTGCTCCTGCTACTCCGGTGGCAGGCTGCGACGCCTAAAATCGAACCACTCCCAGCAGCAAATCCCCATGGCAGTGAAGGACGGAAAAGCATCAAAATTGCACCCAAAAACTGCCTAATGTAACTTCTGAAACTATAAAAAAAGATGATTTTAGCTACTTTTTCCTCCTGTTTCCTCCTGCTGCTGCTGCGCTCCTGCTGCAGCTACTCTTCTGAAACCTATAGAAAAATTGATTGTAGCTACCTTTTCCTCCTGTTTCCTGCTGCTGCTGCTGCTGCTGCTCCTGCTCCTGCTACTCCGGTGGCACGCTGCCACGCCTAAAATCGAACCACTCCCAGCAGCAAATCCCCATGGCAGTGAAGGACGGAAAAGCATCAAAATTGCGACCAAAAACTGCCTAATGTAACTTCTGAAACCCATAGAAAAAGATGATTTTAGCTTCTTTTTTCTCGTGTTTCCTCCTGCTGCTGCTGCTGCTCCTGCTCCTGCTACTCTTGTGAAACCTATAGAAAAAAATGATTGTAGCTACCTTTTCCTCCTTTTTCCTGCTGCTGCTGCTGCTTCTCCTGCTCTGCCTAATGTAACTTCTGAAACCCATAGAAAAAGATGATTTTAGGTACTTTTTCCTCCTGTTTCCTCCTGCTGCTACTGCTGCTGCTCCTGCTGCAGCTACTCGTCTGAAACCTATAGAAAAAATGATTGTAGCTACCTTTTCCTCCTGTTTCCTGCTGCTGCTGCTGCTTCTTCTCCTGCTCCTGCTCCTGCTACTCCGGTGGCAGGCTGCGACGCCTAAAATCGAACCACTCCCAGCAGCAAATCCCCATGGCAGTGAAGGACGGAAAAGCATCAAAATTGCGCCCAAAAACTGCCTAATGTAACTTCTGAAACCCATAGAAAAAGATGATTTTAGCTACCTTTTCCTCCTGTTTCCGCCTGTTTCCTCCTGCTGCTGCTGCTGCTCCTGCTCCTGCTCCTGCTACTCCGGTGGCAGGCTGCGACGCCTAAAATCGAACCACTCCCAGCAGCAAATCCCCATGGCAGTGAAGGACGGAAAAGCATCAAAATTGCGCCCAAAAACTGCCTAATGTAACTTCTGAAACCCATAGAAGAAGATGATTTTAGCTGCTTTTTCCTCCTGTTTCTTCCTCCTGCTGCTGCTGCTCCTGCTTCTGCTACTCTTCTGAAACCTATAAAAAAATGATTGTAGCTACCTTTTCCTCCCGTTTCCTGCTGCTGCTGCTGCTTCTCCTGCTCCTGCTACTCCGGTGGCAGGCTGCGACGCCTAAAATCGAACCACTCCCAGCAGCAAATCCCCATGGCAGTGAAGGACGGAAAAGCATCAAAATTGCGCCCAAAAACTGCCTAATGTAACTTCTGAAACTATAGAAAAAGATGATTTTAGCTACTTTTTCCTCCTGTTTCCTCCTGCTGCTGCTGCTCCTGCTCCTGCTACCCTTCTGAAACCTATAGAAAAAATGATTGTAGCTACCTTTTCCTCCTGTTTCCTGCTGCTGCTGCTGCTCCTGCTCCTGCTACTCCGATGGCAGGCTGCGACAACTCTAGTGCTGCTGCTGCTGCTACTACTACTACTACTACTACTACTGCTGCTGCTGCCTTACTGCCACTGGCTGCTGGCTGCCGACTGCTGCTGCTACAAGCCCCTTTTCCTGCTGGTGTGCTAGTGCTGCTGCTACAACTCTAGTGCTGCTGCTGCTACTACTGCTGCTGCTGGCTGCTGGCTGCACCATGCTACTGAAGGACGACTACTACTGCTGCTGCTGCTGCTGCTGCTGGTGCTGCTGCTGCTACAAGAGTCAAAAGTAGGTGTGCTAGTGCTGCTGCTACAACTCTAGTGCTGCTGCTGCTGCTACTACTGCTGCTGCTGCTGCTGCTGGCTGCTGGCTGCACCATGCTACTGAAGGACGACTACTACTGCTGCTGCTGCCTTACTGCCGCTAGCTGCTGCTGCCGACTGCTGCCGACTGGCTAGTATTGCCGCTGACTATGTGCTGCCGACTGCTGCTGCTACAAGCCCCTTCTCCTGCTGGTGTGCTAGTGCTGCTGCTACAGCCGACTGCTGCCGACTGGTTAGTATTGCCGCTGACTATGTGCTGCCGACTGCTGCTGCTACAAGCCCCTTCTCCTGCTGGTGTGCTAGTGCTGCTGCTACAACTCTAGTGCTGCTGCTGCTGCTACTGCTGCTGCTGGCTGCTGGCTGCACCATGCTACTGAAGGACGACTACTACTACCGCTGCTGCTGCTGCTGCTGCTGCTGCTACAAGACCCTTCTCCTGCTGGTGTGCTAGTGCTGCTGCTACAACTCTAGTGCTGCTGCTGCTGCTACTACTGCTGCTGCCTTATTGCCACTGGCTGCTGGCTGCCGACTGCTGCTGCTACAAGCCCCTTCTCCTGCTGGTGTGCTAGTGCTGCTGCTACAACTCTAGTGCTGCTGCTGCTACTACTGCTGCTGCTGCTGGCTACTGGCTGCACCATGCTACTGAAGGACGACGACTACTACTACTACTGCTGCTGCTGCTGCTGCTGCTGGTGCTGCTGCTTGTGCTACAAGAGTCAAAAGTAGGTGTGCTAGTGCTGCTGCTACAACTCTAGTGCTGCCGCTGCTGCTGCTACTACTGCTGCTGCTGCCTGCTGGCTGCACCACTACTGCTTCTGCTGCTGCTGCTGGTGCTGCTGCTGCTGCTGCTGCTACAAGAGTCAAAAGTATTATTCCCTGGCGCGCTCCCCCTTGCGTCTGCCGGGGTCGGCGGACATCTTCTAAACCCTCCATTGTTTGCTGGTTTCAACCCCCCCAAGGACTGTCTGCCCCTGTGCCGTGTTGGCCATTGGCTGCGGGGCCGTTGCGGCCAGTGCTGTGGCTGGCTGACGCGGCGCTGGCGGCGACCGGCGGAGTGAAAAAATCGCAGGAGATGGACAGACTGATTGGGGATATAGTGGGTTATAGTAGGTTAATCTTAGGATTATTAACACAAAAATGCAGTTGTTCCCAGCTTTCTTGGCAATATCATGTAATGATTGGTGGTTCACAATTGGGGCCTTGGAGTACTTGGTGGTTCACCCCATGACATGGAAGACTACTGTCTCCCAAACACGAGCTATTCATGTCAGGGTCCACGTTTGTTGGGGTTTATCATTAACAATCATTAGATATATCATGATATATCCCCACGCATTATAATATCATATTCCCCATATTTTTTGTAATAGAACATCATATCATGTCATATATCTTAGTAAAAACCCATGATATCCAACTTTTTGGCTTAATTATCATTTTTGGGATGGATTCACTGGCCCGCTAAATTGGTGACGTTTAGCAACACTGATTCACTCCAGTCGGGATGATGGCGATAAATCTGATAATCCACAATTAACTCAGGCGGAACATGTGTCCCTGGGATTTTCTAAATGTATGTATGTATATATATATATTATAAATACAATATATATATATATTATAAATACAATATATATATATTATAAATACAATATATATATATACATTATAAATACAATATATATATATATATGTATATATATATATATATTAAATGCAATACACACACACATATATA